TTTTTCCAGAAGCTCATATAAATGCAATTGTACAATTTGGTGCCTTTGTATTTAGTTTCAGCTTCAAATGACACTTTTGAGATTCACCATGATGTTGCATGTGCTCGTAGTTCCTTGGTGTTGCTGAGTATTATTCCATTGTGTGAGCATATTATATATTGTATATTCATTCATCTGTTAATGGATGCTTGCATTGTTTCCAGGTTTTGGCTGTTTTTAATGAATTGTTTTTGCAATGTTTGTGAATTCAAGTTGCTATCATTCTTGTTAACATTTGCTATTTGTCAGCTTTTAAAATTTTAGTCCTAATGGATGTATAATGTTATCTTATTGTGGTTTAAGTTTATATTTCTCTTATGACTAAGGATGTGAGCATCTCTTGATGTGATTATTGGCTATACATAAATCTTATTTTGTGAATTGTGTTCAAATCATTTATTTACTTTTAAAATTGAGTTGTTTGTCTTTACTGAGGTGTAAGAGTTCTTTTCATATTGTACGTACAGCTAGTTTGTCAGATAAATACAAATTACAAATATTTTGTCCTATTCTGTGGTTTGCCTTTTTGCTTACTTGATCACTTGTGATGTTATCAATATCATTGTTGTGGATTATTTTAACAAGATAAAGAGCAGATGATGAAATCATAGCAGAATATGAACTTGTACATTCACTTTTAGAAGGGTCCCCTGATCTGGTGATTGGACAGTGGGAGTGAAGACTTAACAGTGAAGTAAGGCATGTCCTGTTAAGTCAGAACTAGAGAAATATGGCCGAGTCAGTAAATATATCAGGAAGCAAATCTCTTTTACTGTTGCCAAGCAGCAGTCTTAGTCTTTCCTTCCCAGTCCTCAAAAACTCCCTTCTAAACCAGCCTCTGTTCTTATACCTGCCCTTCCTTCGTCTTCTCCTGATTTAAAACCGAGCACAGTGTTTTCAGGAAGAGAAGGACTGGTTCTCAGTATTGAAACTTTTAATTAGTAAGAGCATAGTGACTTGATTTCCATTGTAGCATTAGAGTTAAAGCACTTTTGGAAGCCTGAGGCTTTTGGTCTAGGACTGGGGTTGGCAAACTATAGCCGTAAGGCAAAATCCCGCTTGTAAATAAAGGAAATTATTCATGTTTTTGCTGTGGCTGCTTTTATATAGTGGCAGACTTCAGTTGTTCCAAAAGAGACCATCTGGCCCACAAAGCCTACATGTTTATCTGGCCTTTTACAGCAAGTTTCCTGGCTTCTTGTCTAGGGAGAAACTAGTCCATTAACCTATAAGCAGCAATAAAATGAGTCATTTCTGTCTAGTTGAAAACAAATGTTTCCTCAGAGACTCATAGTCACCACTCATGATAATAAGGGGGGTACTATCCAAGGCCTTCTCTCAAAAATATAATAATATATCCAATACATCGCACCATCAGAAATAAGCTCTTTTTTTTTTTTAGAGTACATAGTTAGTCACATAGATAGATGTGTGTGGTCCTTTAACAGCCTTCTAAAACACGCTGGATAAAGTTGCCTTTCTGGTATCTCTCTCTGCTCTTATAGCCCTGTCTGCCCTAAGAGTGATGCTAGAAAAGTGTTTTCAATTAAGACAGTGTGTCAGGGTTCGGTTTGGAGGACACAGACCGAACCGATGATTTGTCCTTCTGTTCACCCTCCTCCTTCCTGGATACATAGGTAAAATCAGTGACACCAAGAAACAAATAGTTGGGTTTCTTGGGTGAGCACTGGCCTTACAGTCTGGATGCATTTAACTTTGTGCCATGTGCTAAAGATTTTTATTTGTAGGACAAGTTACAGAATCGTATTAGTTTCTTATGTCTTTTATCAGTTTTTTTTGTTTGTTTGTTTGTTTGTTTTTGCCAGTGTTTATTTGAATTTGTCTATTCCACCATGTTTTCCTTCAGGCACATGCTTCAAGTGTCCTAAGTCAGTATCCAGTTTCACTCATCTTCCTGTTGATCATTATTTATAAATTGACCTTTGGTAGAAATTCCAGCCTCCATCTTGTTTCTTTTGTCAAAAATGGATTTATTTATTTTTTTTAAATTGTGACAGAGCCATTCTATTAGATATATTTGATTATGATGATACGACTTGGTTGATAATCAAAATTCATGTTAAGAAGATGTACTTCATTGATGTTCTACTTTCTTCCCAATTCATGATCATTAGAAATTATATTTTAAGTTAAAGAATAATGTTAAGATAGGATTATTGATAAGGAACACATTTTTTACTTTGCATCTAAATGTTAACTGTGATCATCATTTTAATCTCATTTGAGATATATGTGAAATTGTTATACATTCTAAGAAGATTTCGACAAATTTAAAATATTCTTTATAAGCCAAAGCAATATATACTTATTTCTGTTCTAGTTATTTTTAAAGATGCCATTAAGTTATATTAATACATTAAAATGTTACTAAGTTTTCACTGAAGTGTAACTTTTTTTCTGAGTTGCTTATCTTTTGAATAGAATTTGTTATTTCTGAAGTGCTGTCAGTTTCCCAGCCCAAAGATATAAGGAACATAGAATCTGTTCTGTTCGTAGAGTAAACTTAAAAATACACTAGAAAGCCTTAATAGGATGTTAGTTTGTTCTGACATGTGTCATGTATATTTTTAGTGCTAAACATGTTCTTACAGTTAGTAGGTAGACAGAAGCTTCTTAGGGAAAAGTAAAAAGTACCTTTGAAGTCATGCACATTTGTTAAAATTATAGCTGCTTGTTTTTTAGACATGTTTTATGTTTCTGTTTAAATTTCTAAGTTTTATTACTCATATAATTTGATAGAAGCACTCAGAGTTGTAGATTTATATAGTAATAGAACTGCTCAATTGTCCAGCTTTCTTTCTGTCTATAAAGCTTTTGGAGGACATGCTTTATTTTTGTTTGTATTTATTTAAAATGCAACTATGTCTGTAAAAGTTTAATATTAGACACCTATACGTAAAAGCAAGATGTATAATGACATAATGCTCTTTTGCTTTTCCACTTTAAAATAGCAAAGAGTATTATATTTTACTTCAATTGCATATAAATATTTATCCAATATCCCAAGAACAAGGCTTCTATTACTAAAAATCCCATGGAATACTTAAATACCAGATTATATTTTAATAATTTAAATGCTATTGGATACAGGATTTACTTATCTATAAAATACACACAAGTTATGTGATATAAAAATATTTATGCATCCATTCTTACTGGATTTCACATACAGTAGTCAAGCTCTCTAGCTCTTTGTACTCTGATTTAGCTATTTAACATAGGTTTAAAATTCTTCAAAAGATTGCATAGATTGTATTTATGCAATCTATGGTTTTGATAAGATACTTTTTTATAAATGTAAGTTAATTATAGTAGCATAACCAGTCTTTGATTATTCACGATGAGTGAGGAAAAAGCAGAGCATAAAAAATTGCAGTTTAAAAATATTTTTTAAATTTTAGTTAAGCCATTATTTTATTTTATTTTATTTTATTTTATTTTATTTTCTTCGGTAACAATTTCTGCAACCCACCAGACCACTTCAAAAAATTGTCAGTAATACATTTAAGAAGTAGCTAAGTTGGCAGTTTATATCATTTCATATTAGCTTATTAATCTGGTTTCTGCTAGAGGTGCTAAGAGTGAATGACTAATGACTAACAGCAGTTTGAGATGAACCACATGCTGAATAACCCTCTTAAAAAACTGCAAGTGAACTGAGTATTTCCCAGAATGCTTTGTTTTCTTATTGCAGGAGTATATTATTCTGACCAAAAAATGCCATTACAGAAAACACTATAATAAAATACGTGGATGTTTTGTCTGATTCATAGAAAATGCTCAAATAATCTTAGTCAATAAAGTTCTTTTTTTCTGATTCTAGTTCTTTTAAATAATGAATTGTTGAAATGTTCTGCAGATTCTTAAATTATGGAGGCCTTTTATTGTCATTTTTCAAGGATTCTCCTTAGATAAAAATCCTTATTGTATACCGTTTTCATTGTAGTTATGGAAGAGAAATCTCTTAGCCCTGTATGAAGATGAAATTGCCCTTTAATATTATTCATATTTATAAACTCAGTAATCTCAGCTAGTAAAATAAAAACTTAGTAAATGCTCTAAAAGCAGCCTGGACTAGACCCACATGATTTAGAGGTGTTTACCTCTTCTCATTGTCTTACTGGAAATTTATAATCATATATTTATGCTCCCTAACTCACCATTGATATGGACTAGCATAAATTGTCAAGGACGAGAATGAATTCCAGACAGTATCCAGATTTTTAAAAATTCTATTATCAGAAATAATTTTATCTTACAGAGTTCATTTTAAGAAAGTTTTTTTAAACCTGTTTCTTTACAACCAACATATTTTCTAAACCTATCAATTTAGTACTGTTACTTGTCTATACAAGTAGTGTTCTTAAATTTTTTCAGAGTTCTTATAGAATCATACAACTATTAATAGTAGTGTTCATTAAATACTGTAATTTAATTACCAATATTATTATATTTTATTCTTATATCCATTTTGACAATCTTCATCTTTTTCTAAAAAAAAAAAAAAAAATAGACCAAACAAACAGAACTCTGAAGGTAATCACACAAATTTCTTATCTTGCACTTTGATCTGTCTTAAGACAGGCACAGCTTTCCCAATGTCCACTCACCACTTGCAAGTAGTCCGGTGACTTTTAAACAACATTAAGTTCATTCATATGATTACCTCAGATTGTGCTGGGAAGAGAAAGAGGAGACTGGTATTGCAAAGCTGATACTATCCCTTACTTTTTATACCTGATTGCATATGTTGACATTTATGAACCACTGTTTAACATTTCTTCTCAGTTCATATACTGAATTACCTGCCAATCATTTCTTTTAAGATATTTTGGGGATGGTTATAGTAAGTTTTCTTGAATTGTAACAAATTTAAAATTTAGCATTTGTTAAAGGAAAAATTCTGATTGATCTTTTTAAAAAAATCATTTATTTGCTAGGTAAATTCTCTTCTACACTTTATGAGACTGGTGGCTGTGATATGTCACTTGTGAATTTTGAACCAGCAGCAAGAAGAGCATCCAATATCTGGTATGTGTGAAGTCATTTTAGGAGGGTGTGTAGTTGTATATATTTGCTGTTTTTAAAGTTTTTAAGCCTTTAGATGCAAGTGTTTAAAAACATTTGTTTATATTGGCTTAAATAATTTGTCATAATGCATTTTTTTCTAGAGAGTTAAAGTAGAATTTGTTGCTATGGGAAAAGGAAAGCATTATTCTTAAAACAAAAGCTATCCTGTGTTTTTAAAAATTAAGTAAAAATTTTCTGTTGATCTTATAGTGAGACAGTGGTTTGCACAGTTGCAAATTTAACTATAGATTTCATTGTAAATATATGATGTAAAAAAAAAGCTTATTAAAAAATATTTATACAACTAAGTTCATACCCATTAATTCTCTTTTTCTTGTGTATAATTAAAAATTTTCACTTCCTTTAAAGGGTTGGTCAGATTTTTTAAATGATCAGCTTTCATTTGTTTTATTTATTTATTTTAAATATATTTTATTGATTTTTCACATAGAGGACGGGAGAAGGATAGAGTTAGAAACATCAATGAGAGAAAAACATTGATCAGCTGCTTCTTGCACACTCCCCACTCATGATGTGCCCACAACCAAGGTACATGCCCTTGACTGGAATTGAACCTGGGACCCTTCAGTCTGCAGGTCGACGCTCTATCCACTGAGCCAAACTGGTTTCAGCAACTTTCATTTGTTTTAAAATGTGTTTACCAGCTATGAAAGGATGGAATTTCTTTCTTTCTTTCTTTCTTTCTTTCTTTCTTTCTTTCTTTCTTTCTTTCTTTCTTTCTTTCTTTCTTTCTTTCTTTCTTTCTTTCTTTCTTTCTCCCTCTCCCTCTCCCTCTCCCTCTCCCTCTCCCTCTCCCTCTCCCTCTCCCTCTCCCTCTCCCTCTCCCTCTCCCTCTCCCTCTCCCTCTCCCTCTCCCTCTCCCTCTCCCTCTCCCTCTCCCTCTCCCTCTCCCTCTCCCTCTCCCTCTCCCTCTCCCTCTCCCTCTCCCTCTCCCTCTCCCTCTCCCTCTCCCTCTCCCTCTCCCTCTCCCTCTCCCTCTCCCTCTCCCTCTCCCTCTCCCTCTCCCTCTCCCTCTCCCTCTCCCTCTCCCTCTCCCTCTCCCTCTCCCTCTCCCTCTCCCTCTCCCTCTCCCTCTCCCTCTCCCTCTCCCTCTCCCTCTCCCTCTCCCTCTCCCTCTCCCTCTCCCTCTCCCTCTCCCTCTCCCTCTCCCTCTCCCTCTCCCTCTCCCTCTCCCTCTCCCTCTCCCTCTCCCTCTCCCTCTCCCTCTCCCTCTCCCTCTCCCTCTCCCTCTCCCTCTCCCTCTCCCTCTCCCTCTCCCTCCCTTCCTTTCTTTCTTTGAATATATTTTATTGATTTTTTTACAGAGAAGAAAGGAGAGGGATAGAGAGAAACATCAATGAGAGAGAGACATCGATCAGCTGCCTCCTGCACACCTCCCACTGTGGATGTGCCTGCAGCCATGGTACATGCCGTTGACCGGAATCGAACCTTCAGTCTGCAGGCATACGCTCTATCCACTGAGCCAAACTTCGGCATGAGGATGGAATTTCTTAAATCATGGATTATGTGTTACATTTAGTTTCTTTTTTCATCTTCCCTTAGGAAGTTGCTGCTTTGAAATACATTATTGATGAATTAATTCACTGTTTTCATTACAATCATTTTATTATTAGGATTTCCATTTAATAATAGACACACCTATTTAAATGTACACATCTATAGGCAATTCACCTAGTGTTTTTTTTTTTTTTTAAGTTTTAAGGTGTTATATAAAGCAACAGGATCTTATAATCACATAGATGAAAAGTTACTTATCTGCTGAAAAGATAGAACATTTAGAAAACCATACCCTTACCGCTCCTTTCATCTAGTTTCCTAATTTGTGTCAAAAATGATTAATTTGGTGTGTGAGGTATTTTGTAGCAGTCAAAACAGTAGGAGAATGGAGCAATGGAAACAATTATGTTTAATTCAAGACAAAAACAATTCCTACACTATAAATGTGGTAAGGTCTCACAGTTAAATCTAAGCTTGACCTGTGGTCATTGAATTGTGTTTCTGGGCCATTATAGCTAAATTTATCATGAGTGCAGGAAATATGTTAATTGCTTTCTTAAGCACTCTTCATAAGAACCTTTTGATAAAGGTACCATCATCCTGTTAATGATGAGGAAAACAAGTATAAAAAAGTTGGGTAATGTGTCCAAAATTTCATTCATTTGGTGAAGAATTTTGAATGTTGATACTCTGACCAAGTGACTATGTTCTTAATTACAACTCTAGGAAAATGATATTTTGCATTTTGAAGTTGACATAGAAAAGTGAAGACACTGTAAATATCAAACACTGTTAAAGGATTTATTATTTTCCTGTTATCTGGCAAACTATTCCCTAAAGTCTTTTTTCATTTTATTTTAGTGATACCGATTCTCATGTATCCAGTTCTACCTCAGTTCGATTTTATCCACATGACGTGGTAAGTTTTCCTTTATTTTTATAAAACATTGTGCTCTCAGAGTAGGTTGCTACACAAATCAGAAAAATGAATTTTGTTGAAAAATATGGCAAAATACTTTTGCTGTCCCATAGTACATCTCTTTTTAGTCCTTTGTTAAACAAACATGTTTAATTAACTATATATGAATCAATTATTAGGCTTTTGAGAGTATTTTGTAAAGATTACTCACCAATGCCATAATCTGGTTGTGCCATTTTAAAACTTTGAACATTATGATTTTGGGGTATTTATTGTTTATCTATTAGTTATTTATATACCAGTGTATATGTTTTGGAAGCTTAGTGATGATATCACTGTATAAAAAATATGCCGCTTAAAAAAGAAAGTGCCATATAAAATACAATGGGGATGTTGTAAAAGGATAATACTGCCTTTGCCATCAAAATATATACTCGTATACTGAAGTTGGGAAAGACAAAATGGATGTAATTCATATAAATAACACATAAGAAATATAGGTAGATAAATGTATTGCCAAAGGGATTAATTATTGGCAGCTTCCTGAAAATGCCGAGCTGTGAATAGGGTTTTAAGACCATACGTGCAAGTTGGCATAGAGCAAAGGTTTTAACTAGTGGACATTTGGCAATGTCTGGAAACACTTTTGCTTGTTACAGCAGGGAGAATTCTACTTGTCTATAATGGATAGAAGCCAGGGATGCTGTTAAACATCCTACAGTGGGCAGCCCAGCTCCCGCAATATAGAATTATCTGGCTCACAATTCCTGTTGAGAAACCCTGGCATAGAGCGTAAGATGGAAAGTGTTTGGGGAAGTCTTTGTGAATGTTTAGAGATAGTGAAAGTAAGTTTTCTTGATTACCGTATTTTCCAGCGTATAAGACAACCCCCTAATTTTACAGTTAAAACATAGGTTTAGGCCTATATTCGCTGTATAAGACTACCTCCCACTTCCGAGGCAACACCAGTTCTTTTTTTAATAGACCGCTTCTCTGACTCTGGCCAATCCAAGCAGGCTTTTTATGCATGCAAATTATACATGTTCTGTACCCGAAGCTACACTGTGTTCTAGTAAAAAGCCTGCTCAGATGGGCCAGAGTCAGAGAGGCGGTCTTTTAAAAAAAGAACTGGTGTTGCCTCGGAAGTGGGGGGTAGTCTTATACAGCAAACATAGGCCTAAACCTATGTTTTAACTGTAAAATTAGGGGGTTGTCTTATAAGCCTGGTCATCTTATACGCCGGAAAATACTGTATATCTACACGAGAGGTCTGATACGTGAATTCATGCACCAGTGGGGTCCCTTGGCCTGGTCTGCAGATCCGGCCAAAATTGGCTCTCCGACATCCCCCGAGGGGTCCTGGATTGAGAGGGCTCAGGCCAGGTTGAGGGACCCAACAGTGCATGATCAGGGCCGGGGAGGGACATGGGAGGCTGGCCAGCTGGGGAAGGACTACAGGAGGGCTCCAGGGTATGTCCAGCCCATCTTGCTCAGTCCTGATCAGCTGAGCCCCAGCAGCAAGTTAACCTACTGGTTGGAGCATCTGCCCCCTGGTGGTCAGTGCACATCATAGCGAGCGGTTGAGTGGCCTTAGCATATCATTAGCATATTACCCTTTGGTTGAGCAGCCAACTGGACAACTGGACACTTAGCATATTAGGCTTTTATTATATAGGATATGTTTTGAAAAGCAAAAATTCCCTTTGTTTTTGCTGTTGTGTATTTTTGGAAACCCCATAGGAAAGAAAAAATGGGAATAGTTAGTATTTTTGGCTAATAAATGTGTGAGAGCTTTTAGATAGTAAAGTGCTAGCTAGAGTTGTGCTAGATTCAGTAAACTTTGGATTCTTTCAGAGGAAGGAGAAACTTGTGAACTGATCTGAATGAGTTAAAGCTGAAAGAAATGTAATGTGGTAATTTCCTGAAAAGCCTCAGATGAGCAGCCTGCCAAAACCAAAGGGAGGGGGCCAGGGCGTAGGAGGGATTTGTAAACAATGGCAGTGATAAGGTAAATGAGAGTTGAAAGTACTGAACCCACTGCAGAGGAGCTTAGATTTCACATGGCAGTGAGGTTCATAACTTAATGAGGAAAGGCCATAAATGGAGCAGGGAGAAGGGAAGCCACCAGTAATTCACTGTAAGCGATTTTAATGGATTTACTAGCTAAACAATCAAAACATTAAGATTTCACACACTTTTCCTAAGAAAACCTTTCCAAAAGGCCTATTGATTAAATTTCTAATGGTCATAAGACACCCATGAGGAGTGAACTATAATAGTATAGAAAATTAAGGAGGTTTAGATAATTTCCAAGCTAACTGAGTAGCCCTTGAATGATGACTTGATTAAAGATATTGTAAGCCTCTTAATGCTGACTTTCTTTTAGCTCTCTCTCCCGCAGATTCGATTGAATAGACTATTAACCATCGATACAGATTTGTTGGAGCAACAAGACATTGATCTAAGCCCAGACTTGGCAGCTACTTACGGTCCAACAGAAGATGCTGCCCAAAAGGTTAAACACTATTACCGTTTTTGGATCCTGCCCCAGCTATGGATTGGCATTAACTTTGACAGACTCACACTTTTGTCCCTGTTTGATAGGTGAGAATATAGTGTGATATTAAAGATGTATGCAGATTTTATTTTTAAATTGAAATGTCTCTAATAACTCATTGAGTTTTTACTTGGTTAGCATGTTGGAGACTGTTTTCTACTTTGATTCTTTGAGATAAAATTTAAATTAATAGGGTTCCCAAACATTAATTCTCTTGAATTCATTGGAAACCTTATGTGTATATAAAATATTCATGTAATCATCAATGAGTCATTCCACTAAATATAAAACTCAGAAAAAAATGAAGTGTTAATTTTTATCAGGTTACAGATAACATGACCCTAAATATAAAAGGCACAAGAGGAAACTTTTGTTTCCTATTTCTTAGCACTAATCTTAATAGTAATCAATATTAGTCTCTTATAAACTTGTTGACTAAATGCTACTTCTAGTCAACATGAAGTAATCAAGACTGGCTTTATCATCCTACCGGAAACAATGTAAAACAGACAAAATGCAGGAAACAGTCATTTTCAAGAATTTGGAGATGAGACAACAAATGGTAGTGATTCCTGAGAGATGGGAAAAAATTATATGAGCCATAGTGTCTAGCATACTTCCTGAATTAGAGATGGAGCTAGGAGTCCAGAGGACAGAATATCAGAGAAAGGGTTACTGTTAACAGTGAGGGCCTCACATCTGCAGTGGGGTCTCCGTGACTTTTCAGCAGAGTGCTGATGAGTGAATGTATGTGAAGAAACTACCTGAGGCCAGGCAAGGAACCATGTGAAAGAAAAAGAGGAACAGGGCCAGGAATAATGCCTGTTCCTATCAGCCAGATGGAAGAAACTCAAGTCGTATTTCGTGGTGCATTGTGTAGCATACTCAAGAAAACCTTGCCCTAGAAGTGGGAAATATACTGTCTTCAAGTAACATAACAAAGCTCAAGAAGATTTATAGAAATCCAGTTCTCACACCCACTAAGTTAAGATTCACTGTGCCTGACATCCAAAGATTATCAGTTGTTCAAGGAAGGGGTAAAATATGATTTATAATGAGGGAAGTAATATATCAGTTGAAACCAACCTGTAAGCAGTCAAAGAGAGTCAGCAGTCAAAGACATTAAAACTGTTATAATAAAAATATTTTTAAAAAGACCCATGTCTGAGGCAAAAAGTACAATGGATGCCATTACTATTGGATTTCCATGTGCAAAAAAAGAAGGGAAAAAAAAAAGAATTGTATTTTTACCTTTCATTATATTACAAGAATTAATTCAAAGTGGATCATAGGGCCCGGCCAGCTAGTGTGGCTCATTGGTTGAATGTCACCCTATGAACCAGAAGATCACAGTTCAATTCCCAGACTGGGCACATACTAGTACCCAGGTTGTGGGCTCGATACCCATTAGGGGGCGTGCAGGAGGTAGCCTAATCATTGATGTTTCTATCTATCTCCTCCCTTCCTCTCTGAAATCAGTAACAAATATATTTAGAGGCCCAAATGTAAAACCCCAAACAAATAAAACTTCTGGGGAAAAAAATATAGGAGAAAATATTTGTGACCTTGAATTAGGCAAAATTTCTGATACATAACACAAAAAATATGATTAGTAAAAGAACAAATTGATAAATTGTACTTATCAAAATTTAAAACTAAGAAAGCCAAAGGGGAGCACAAGTACAATGTCTAGCAGTATAGACGGTATGTGCGGTAGCAGGATTGATGAGCAGCACTGGATTCATCAAATCTGGAATTCCACAGCTGCCATATGAGATCAATAAAAATACCACTGTTTATTTTGAAAATTCTATAGAACTTGTTTTAATTTTCTAGAACTAGCATGAAATAGTAGAGGGATGTTTGTGAATTTAATTTTTAGGACATTTGAAGACTAAATATGGCATTGACAACAAATTAATACAAATGTTCTTATGGTTATGAGAATAATTCTTTATGCATTATAGAACAATACATAGAAAGATTTGTAAGACAGAAAGAGACCCTTTATAATCCTCCCATTCAGAGAGAACCATTATTAGTCATATCATTTTGATATGTTGTCTTTTTTTTAACTCAGATCTGTACTTTTTTAAAATAACAGGACATGGTTTTGTGTTCTGCTTTCTTTGTGTAAGAAATGAACAACTTTTTAAAAATATATTTTTTTATTGATTTCAGAGAGAATGATGGAGGGGAAGAGAGAGAGAGCGAGAGAAACATCAATGATGAGAGAGAATTATGGATCAGCTGCTTCCTGCGTGCCTCCTACTGGGGATCGAACTGCAACCCAGGCATACGCCCTGACCAGAAATCGAACCGTGACCTCCTGGTTCATAGGTCTATGCTCAACCACTGAACCATGCCAGCCGGGCACAAATGAACAACTTTTAAATTTAATTTTCTAGAAACTGTTTTGAGATTTTTGTGTTTTAAACTTGTTTTGTTGTATAGCTCTTTTATTTGTCATCCAAGTTGTTTAGTTATTTTGCAACAAATTTGACAGAAAAAGATGTTAAGAGTAAAGTTTTTAAATAGAACTGAAAACTATATTATGCATTAAAATAAATATTTCATAGTCCATTATAGCATGCTTTATTTATACATAAGAATTTGTTTTCATTTTCCACATAACTAATTTCTTTTTCAGTGTGACCCAAAATCTTACTCAAACCCAGTACCAAAGAAAATCTCAGCAAACAAACTATGAACTTAATATTGATGACTTCCCTTCACTCTGATTAATTTCTTATATTGATGATATACTTACTCATAAGTTTTCCTATCTACAGAAATCGTGAGATTCTGGAAAACGTGTTAGCTGTCATCCTTGCTATTCTTGTGGCATTTTTGGGATCTATTCTTCTCATACAAGGCTTCTTCAGAGATATCTGGGTCTTCCAGTTCTGCCTGGTGATAGCCAGCTGTCAGTACTCACTACTTAAGGTACCAGCATCTCTTCTTTTCTGACTGTGTTAAAAGGCAGAAAGTTTCATAGCATTCACTGAATTATATAGTAAGGATATTAATTTTAAATTAATTTTTATTAGATGTTTATATTAGATTGGTTAGGGAGTAAAACGGACCTATGAACTTTAAAAATTAATGAAATGTAAATGAAGCTTCCTTAAAGCCATTTTTGGTATTAAAAGAAAGTATTTGGGCATTGGTTAAAATAAAAATTTCCATTTAAAATTTTTATTTCTTTTAAAGTTATCAACATAAACTCTGTATTTTGTCTTTTACCCTATATGTGAAGTTTATTAAAATTTATCATTGATAGACAACAATAATGTCAAAACATATATATGTTCCTTTGGGACATTGGAAAGAGAAGAGTGGCATCCTTTCGCTGCTGTTTTAATAGTGGCTCTATAATGTCAAAATTGATCAATTTTAAGCTTCCCAAAAGTGGGAGAATCAAATACCATTTTTTTTTTACCTTCTATGCAAAATCTGTGGACTGTAAACATGGACTGTTTCCTTTCTTTCATAATCAGTAGATATTCTTGCTTATATTGGTTATTTGCCTGACATATGCTAACATAAAGAACACTCTCCCATCTTGAAAACTATTTGTTTAGTTCTGTTTATACCATCAGCTGTCCAGATGTTATTGATAGGCATCTGACTGAATAAGCCACCATGTCAACTACTTCATTTCTTCAGGACTCATCCATACTTTTTCCTTATTGCAGTACTAAAATTACAGTCTTTGTGATTACAAATAATCTCAAGTTGCCAAATTTATGTCCTTTTCTTAGGCTTCATTCTCTATAAGTGTTCACTTAACACCTGTGAATACTGCCTTCTATTTTTACATTCTCTTCATTATTGTCTGTGACTTTATTTTATTTTATTTAATATATTTGTATTGATTTTAGAGAGGAAGAGAGAGGGAGAAAGAACTAAAAACGTCAGTGACGAGAATAGAGCCCACCGAGGAGAGAGCCCACAACTTGGGCATGTGCTCTGACTGGGAATTGAACCATGACATCCTGGTTCATAGGTGGATGCTTAACCACTGAGCACACCAGCCAGGCTATGCTGCTGTCTTGCCTGGAAGCCCCTCTTTGTTCTTTTAACTACTTCTTAATTTATGAGAATTCTTTAGGGTTTTATTTTGCTCTCTTCCCAGTTTGCAATTCCTTGCAGTGAAATCATACTGTTTTATTACTTTATTTATTGTGCCTATATATGAATTATGCCCATTTTTATATCTCAAAGTCTTCACCTTTCTCACAAGCTTTAGTCTTATATATTTATCAGGCATTTGGCACATTTAAAAATAACACATCATCATCTTCTGATAAATATTTTCCTTTCCCAATTCCTTTGCTTTTGACAATAGTATACCAACTCAAAATCTTAGAGCCTCTACTCCTTCCAGGTTACTTTGATTAAATGTGGTGATCTTATGGTAACTGGCCTTTGTTCATGCTTTCCATTTCAACAACCTTAATTCATTCCTTTGTTGTCTTAAACCATTTAAATTAATTCCCTGCTTCCAATGTTTCCTGTCCCATTCATTCTGACTGCCGCTGTTAGTTAATATGGTTAGACATGGAAAAGGTAAAATATGACAGATTTTTGAAATTAGTTAACTAGAAGAATAGTAATGTCATAAACAGATATAAGAAAGGCCTGAACAGAAGCTTTAAAGGATAGATGTTGGAATTGAAAGAATGCCTCAGCCCTGGCTGGTTTGGCTCAGTGGATAGAGCGTCGTTCTGTGGACTGGGAGGTCCCCGGGTTCGATTCCGGTCAAGAGCATACGCCTGGGTTGCAGGCTCGAGCTCCAGTGTAGGCCATGCAGGAAGCAACTGATCAGTGATTCTATGACATCTTTGATGTTTCTGTCTCTCTCTCCCTCTTTCTCCCTCTCTAATATATATATATATATATATATGAAAGAAAGAAAGAATGCCTCATCTCATATTCTGCCAAGAGCCACATGCCTAACTCAGTAGGCATGGTCCAACCTGGAAATGTAGGATGGTGAACGACCATCTTAGTGAAATTGTTGGTTTTGCTCTTGGAAAGAAAAGTCATGATTTGGGAAGTAATAATACCTATTGCACATTTTTATGGAACATTGTTAAATCTCTTGCAAAGATATTGCCTAACTTATTTAATGATTTTTGTATGAAAATGCAGATAATGTATTTAATACAAATACTATTGAATTATTTAGTAAATGTGGAATTTATGGGCAGAACTAGAATTCTTTTTATAAGATAACCCAGGTTCTGTGAATTTCCTGAAAGAAATGATGCTACATAAGAGAACATTCTACCTAAGTATATGATTAACCACTATGCTGTATACCTGAAAGCAGTACAAAATAATATTGAAAATAAACTATAATAGAAAAATAGTAAGATTTAAGAAAAAAAGAAAGCATCTGCCATAATATACTTATTTGTAGTAATGAGGCAAGTAGTAGGATAGACCTATCCACCATATGTCATGTCCAAACCGTTTAACTGGATGCAAATGGCTAATTAACTATAAATAAATTTAAGAGTCTGGAAAGATTTGAGGTGTTTTTTAATACCATAGTGACACCACTGTCCGGAGATGATGTTTTATCTTCTGTTGTTGTTTCAATACAATTAATGTGGGTCATTTCTTACCTGTGGAATATTTACTGAAATTATTTTAGGCATTTGAAAGTTGCTTGTAAAATTACCAGGATTATAGGATAATTATAGGATAATCTCTCTTTCTGTTTCATTTTTAGAGTGTTCAGCCAGATTCTTCTTCCCCCAGACATGTAAGTCACTCTCATATGCCTGTTACTCGTAGTTCTTCAACATGCATCAAACCTTTTTGGGGGTCATATGTCAGATTGAATAAAGACTTATGTTCCTAAATTCTAATATAAGTTTTGACACACTCTTAGAAATGAAGGTGACTTATTAGCATGAAATAAAATGCCATTGTAATTGTGGACTCTAAATCTCAATTGAAAAATAGCATAATAATTCATTTTTTACAGTCTGTCAACTAGGTAAACATGGTTCGTATAAACTCATGATTATTAGATAACCTGCATTTAATAACTTTTGAACAATAAATCATGAGTAAATATTGAAAAATAGAATTTTAAAGTAGGAAAAACTTTACATTATATTGCTTCAGTAATCACTAGGAGCAAGAATAAAAAAAAATACATTGATCTGGTGTTTAGACCTATAGACACAAAGGAGATTAAAAGTATTGTTATTCACTTTGTGACTTAAGGCAAAAGTATTAGCTCCCTAGCACTATTTTAAAGCATGATTCAGCTTTACCCTGAAATATTTATTGAATATTTAGACTGAAGAACATTCTCTTTAAAGTAGTTCAAAATTAGACTCCGAGAACAGTTGATGATGATGTCTTTTTTCTTGAATATAGTTGCTTTTACCCATACACTGAGACACTTCCTGAGCCTGGATGAGCAAAACAAAATACAGAGGCACCTGACATTCTTTCAACTACTTGCTTATTGTTTCTTAAGAATACTTTTGAAGTGTAATGATATATGAAAGTATTGAAGTTTTTATTTTTACATGATTTCAGACTTAGGGAAAATGTGCAAAGATTGTACAAAGAATTCCTGATGCTATTCACCCAGGTCCCTGTGTAAACATTTTACCATATTTGGTTATTTCCTTTCTTGTTTTCCTCTCTTTCTCCCTTTACACACACACACACACACACACACACACACACACACACACACACACACACACACACACACACACACACTTCTCTCTCTCTCTCTCTCTCTCTCTCTCTCTCTCTCTCTCTCTCTCTCTCTCTCACACACACACAGACACACACACACACACAATTTCTAAACTGTTTGAGAGTGAATTGTAGACACGATGCCCGTAAAACTCTAAATATGTCAGTCTATAATTTCTAGAAACAAAGGCATTTCTTTACATTAATTAAATATACTTATCAAAATTGGGACATTAATATTGATACAATACTATTTTCTGAGCCACAGTTCTTACTTAGGTGCTTCCTATTTTTCATTTGGCAATAAAAAGAAATCCCTGATTATGCATTTGTTTTTTTTAACCTGCTCTAATCTGGAGCAATTCCTTTGTCTTTCATGATAGTGCCATTTGTGATGGGTATAGGCCCGTTATTTTAGACCATCCCTCAGTCTGAGTTTTTCTAATGTTTCTTCTTAATTAGATACGGGCTGTGCTTTTGGTAGAAACACTCAACAGTCATGTTCTCAGTGTATCACTTAAGGAAGCACATGATGTCTATTTATCCTTTTCTTGGTGCTGTTAATTTTCATTTTTTGGCTAAGGATAGTTAGAGTCTGCAGGGTATTTTAACCTCTGCAGTAGTAACATTTTGGCCTGGATGATTTTTGTTGTAGATAAGGGTGCTGACCTGTGCATTATAGGATTCTTAGCTTTATCTCTGATCTCTACCCACTAGATGTCAGTAGTATCCTCACCCTAATTGTGACAGTGAACATTGGGAATATCCCCTGAGGGTCCAAATCCCCTCCCACTTTCTTGAGAACCACTACTCTACTGTTACTGTTTTTCTGTTGTAGTTAATAAATATCCTTAGGGAGATATTTTGAGATTATATATGTCCAGTTGCCCTTCAGACTTGTTTTTAATATCTGTTGATGTTTCATGCCTGAACCATCTCAGTAAGTAAGGAATAACTTTCCCTTTGTTTTTTCTATTGGTGCATATTCATAGATTCTTATTCCGTGGACTCTATGATGCCACTCATTATTTATTGTGATGTTCAAATTATTTCTGACTTGGTTATTTGGGAGTCCATATCCTTATCTATCTTTTTAGTATTTCCTTCCTCTTTTTTTTTTTTTTTTTTTTTTTGCCTAACACTATGTTCCAAGCTCACCTTATACTTTATCTACCATTTTCTGAAACCAGCCTTTTCTCCATGGAGCACTGGTTCTTTTTACTGAGTAGTGATATTTATAAACTGAGATCTGGATGGTAGTAATCTATATTACCAGAATGTCATTGTTTCTAGACCCTCTCATTGGCTAAAACTGGGAAATAATATGTATGTATATACATATGTACATACATATATATGTATATATACAGTTGGCCCTTGAACAATACCAATTTGAACTGCATGGATCCATTTATACATAGATTGTTTTCAATAAATACTGTAAATGTATTTTTTGATTCCCAATTATTTTTAAATAACATTTTCTTTTCTCTAGCTTATGTTAAGAATTTAGTGTATAATACATGTAACATATATATATCAATCAACTATTTATGTTATTGGTAAGGCTTCCAGACAATAGTAGGTAGGCATTAGTAGTTACATTTTTGAGGAGTAAAAAGTTATATGCAGATTTTCAACTGTTAGGGGCAGTGTCAGTGTCCATAATAATTCAAGGGTCAACTTTGAACAGACAAACACACACACACCTATTCTTATATCTGTTTATATACATATCAAAAGTGATGAGCTTATACTGATACCTGTAATTGAATCCAGTGTTCACAGGGTTTATTTAGTTCTTCCTCCTTTCCATAGTTGTAATTCCTTTTTGTAACAGTTTCCACATGGAAACTTCTACCCTAAAATGGAAGCCATCAAAAATCTCAATAGCTAGTTGTGACTCTTAAAATTATCTGAACTAACTTGTTTTCTAATACCATTTTCAGGGTCATAATCGTATCATTGCCTACAGTAGACCAGTTTATTTCTGTTTATGTTGTGGTCTTATTTGGCTCTTGGATTATGGAAGCAGAAACCTTACTACCACCAAGTTCAAATTATATGGAATAACTTTTACCAATCCACTGGTGCTTCTATCAGCCAGGGATTTAGTTATAGGTGAGTCTTTTTAAAATATCTCAAATCTTAATATTAATTTATTTGTACACAAACAGTTTACTGATAAAAAGATTAATTGCATAGATAAAAGTAGTAGTTTGTTTGTTTTTGATATATTTTAAAAATTTATTTCAGAGAGGGGGAGAGAGAGAATCATTGATCAGCTGCTTCCTGCACGCCCCCTCCCACTGGGGATTGAGCCTACACATGTGCCCTGACCTGGAATTGAACTGTGACCTCCTGGTTCATAGGTTGTCACTCAATCATTGAGCCACTCAAATAGGGCTTAAAGTAGATTTAATAGGCTTGTTTTGTTGTATGTTGTAATCCTCTCTGTGAGGAACAGAGAACTATAGAAGTATTATGGATGAAGAAAAGTTAATGATGAACAGATATAGTAATTCTTCTGTTCTCAGAGGAGATGTGAAAGGCTTCCTTTCCTTTGGCTTCTGTACTTCAGGTTCCTGCTGTGTGAAAATGGTTGAAACAATTTTAAAAGCTGTTATAATTGAAAAGATTATTTTGAATACCCAAGCAATTATGTAGAGAGAAATAATGTAAAGTGATATCTTTTAAAAATTGCTTGTAGTTTATATTAATTTTAGATTTCTTCCTTTTCTGATCTTAAATGAACAAAACGATAGATGAGGTATATTATTTTTTAACATGCTTTTCTTTCCTTCTATAGTGTTTACACTCTGTTTCCCAATAGTATTTTTCGTTGGTCTCCTGCCTCAGGTGAATACATTTGTAATGTACCTTTGTGAACAATTGGATATTCATATCTTTGGTGGTAATGGTGAGTACTTTCTCAAAAAAATTTACAGTTAACAGTATTCCTTTTACAGGTTAAGTAATAAACTGAAAATAAAATTGCTTTAAAAATTTTTCATTTTAGAATTGAAATTAGAAAGAAAAATAAACTTATTTAATAATTGAAGACTGAGCAGGAATTAATTTATAAATAGGAAAGAGCAATCAAGTCTGATACTTTAGTGAAAGATACAGGAATATGGAATTGATTTATAAGAAGTATTTAAGTTATAGTTCGTTTACATGGAATCTGTGTAGACTTATGAAATATTTATAAAAGGTCATCTATCCCAAATTAAGTTCTGATACATGGCATTGTAGTTGGATTTTGAATTGGTGTATGCGTTTGGTGTGTCTGTGTATTTGGTTTTAGTGAATTCTTTTCCTTTAAAATGGAGACACCAAAACCAGGATACTTTTAGTAAAAGCATTTTACTAAAAAAGCTTTTTAGAAATACCTCAGTTTTTAGAGTAGAATGTGTGAACATGAACTGACATACTTAGAAATATATTTTCCTATTATATGTGTACTTCATTTTCAGAATAAGACCAGTTATTAAAATGGAATAGAGATGGTTTGCATAATTTAAAAATAACCCTGTGGTCAGCCATTTTGGTTAAAATATACTCTTATTTGACTTGAACCATTTAAAGTTTTGTTAAAAAAATATGTTTGCAATAGAGAAATAATACAAAAGGAATATAAATTACTGTAACTTTATAGTCCATTTCTCTTCATACTTCACATTTCAGTCCTCATTTATATTCCAAATATATGCATTGAAATGATCACTGCTCTGAACTCCAGTTTCTGGTGAGACTCTAGGAACCCAGAGTCCTATGGGGAGAAACTGCTTGTATCTCCCTTCCAATTGGAAAAAAGCACTGCACCCAGTTGCCAGCCCAGTTCTCGGGCCTCTGTACCTCTGCTTTTCCATGCCTCTGAACCTCCTATTTAGTCTCATTGCACTTTTTTCTTTCCTTCTAGTTATAGAACTTGTACCAGCCAGCTTTCCCGTAGTTCTGGGCGATAGTCGTTTTGTCTTTTAGTTGTAGTTTTGGTGTTGTTGTGAGATGCAGCACATACCTATGCTGCCACTTGGTTTTCCTAAGATAATCTTGAAGCATAATATAGGCACAAATGTCTTTGCTATGTATAAGTATTCATTATTTCCAAGATGAATATATTTTAAATAAAAAATTGTGGATAGTAAATATTTGTTATTTCAAAATCCTTTGAAAGGATGAAGTAACTGAATTTTTAAAAATCAAATAAATAGATTTAATTATAATATACCATTTTAAATACTTTTTAGTGTCCTTTTCAGATTTGCCTCCCCCCCCCAATAAATGTTTAGAGAGCATTAATCTCCTTCTTCCCCTCTCCCTCTTTTCTATCTAGCCACTACCAGCCTGCTCGCAGCACTCTACAGCTTCATCTGTAGCATTGTGGCGGTGGCCCTGCTGTATGGGTTGTGTTATGGCGCTTTAAAGGTAAGTAACAGGTTGTATTGTGTTTTGACTTTAAGGTTATTTTTCTATAATAAGAATGTTTCCAATGGATTAATGATTTTTTTTTTTCCAGTGCACTTTAGCATTAATTTTCATGATCATTTTGAACATTATTCTCATTTACTTTGAAAACAATTTTATAATTAACCCTTATTAAAAGAAAATCCTTTTCTATACAATAATTAGAGGTTATTATTAGAAATACATTATTCACACTTAGGCAGGTCTGAGATGTAGGTGGATATGGTGATAACAGTATATGAAGGTAATTTTAGATTTCTAGTTAAGGATATATGCAACTCCCGTTCATATAAGACTTCATAAAACTTATGAGAACAAGTTCAAAGACTGCAACTTAAGATACATTCTAGCAAATTATTTCACTGAAATATATTATTATTATTGGTTTAGAAGAATCTGGATGAGACTTATTAGCTCTATTTTTAAAAGATTGTCACCAAATTGTAAATTAAAAAATTTAAATTTCTAATAACCCTTAAGCTGCAGTATTATTATTATTTTTTATGATTAGTGCAAGACAGTCAGAATAATAGGATTGAAAGAACTGTGAAAAGTGACTCACAGCATTTTTCCTTGCTTCTTTTCTTCAGTAGCCTTTAAGGCAGGGGTGGAGAACATCTGGCCCACGGGCTGTATAAGGCCGGTGAAATCATTTGATCTGGCCCTGCCAAGGCATTAGGGGTGAGCTAATTAAATGTTTGACCAAAAATAGCAGGTTTATTTTTAAGTTGATAATTTTGTATGGCCCGCAGATGATGTTATAAATATCCATATGGTGGCCCTTGGCAGAGAAAATGTCCCCCCACCTCCCTGATTTATGGAATGCTTAGTGTGTGCCCAGTGCTATGCCAAACACCATTTCCTGCTTATGAGTGGCTTATATGTTGCTGTGATTAACAAGTCAACAAACACTTTCATTAGAGGGTGATGAAGGCTATGAAAACGAGTCCGATAGGCATAGTGATTATTGCCTTGTCCAGCCTAAAGGGATTAAAGACAATTTTTCAAGGGTACTTTTTAACCACAATTTGAAGGACAAATAGGAATTAGTTAATTGAAACAAAGGATGAAGAGCCATGGAGTTGTAAAAAAGTGTGTTGTATATAGGAAACAGTGAGTAATTTGGACTTTCTGGAGGTTTGGGTACATGAGGACAGATGGCCTTCAGCCAGGCTGGAAAGGTAAGGGAATGGTTAGCTTGTAAAATATCTCTTACCTTAAATATGTTGGGGTGGAGATGGAAGACCATTAACATCTTTGAGGTATGGCAAGGAAATAATCAACATTGTGTTTTAAGAAGATTACTTAGTCCCCAGTGCGAAGGAGATGGAAATAGAAGCAGGATCAGAAATAGGAGGACCCTTGGGTTGCAGTCCTGGAATTATGAGGGACTTAATTGACAATGATTGGGGACTCTGGATAGAGAAGAGCCAGAATAGGCTCCCAGTGACTTTTGTGTAGCGTCTGGCTTACACAGCCTGTTAGGTAGTGATACTAATGCACAAAATTAGAAACGTTGGCATTTAGTGAGGAGGTGGTGGTTTAAATTTGGACATGCTTATTTGTGACATTTAGGGGGTATCTAGAGATATATAGTAGAAAGTTATATATAGAGAAGTTTGAGGTAGTGGTTAGTAGATTTGGAATTCATCAATACAATTAAATCAAGAATAAGAATAAAACTACTAATATAGACTTGACAAGAGAAAATGGGTGAGGATAGAACCCTGGGAAATGCCAGTTTTGAGCATTGGAGTTTTATTAATCTTTCCAGTAAATAGAATATTGGTCATTTGGCTGAAGAAGCTAGATTAATATAAACTTAGGTTTGAATGGATATTAATCAAATGTATTCTTCTCTTTCTAGAATATAGTTGGGAAACTTGTGCATTTGCTTAGGGGTTGTTTTCTGGTTTTTGATTTTTAAAAAGATCTGAATCTTAATTGCATTTAAAAGGGAAGGGGGGATAGTCAAGTAGAGAGGGAGATATTTGGTAGAGCGAAACCCAGGAAAGAACTGGAGACAGTTGATCCGAATCCATGCTTCTCCCGTGTGCACCTGGAAAGCTTCCTAGTACAGAGGTTTTAGCTCTGTTGTGAGTCGTTTTGTTAAGTCATTTTTTGGAAGTTACTGTTGAAAAGTGTAAGTTTTTTTTTATGCCTAGTTTACAAAGGCCTGCTTAATTATTTAACAGAAGAACAGCAATTGTAAAATTGCCAGCTGAGAACACTGTGTCCTCAGATAGGTAGGAGGATAGTTTTTGGAGGATGTTTTTGCCTTCTTTTTTATACATGGCTTTTGCATTAGACCAGTGGTCGGCAAACTCATTAGTCAACAGAGCCAAATATCAACAGTACAATGATTGAAATTTTTTTGGAGAGCCAAATTTTTAAAATTTAAACTTCTTCTGACGCCATTTCTTCAAAATAGACTTGCCCAGGCCGTGGTATTTTGCGAAAGAGCCAAACTCAAGGGGCCAAAGAGCCGCATTTGGCTTGCGAGTCGCAGTTTGCTGACCACAGCATTAGACCATTTTAGTTTTATACGTCACCCATTATAATAAAACTAATCTGCAGATTTAGTTATATACACGAATAAAGATTATGTGCAAGAATTTTATTAGAGTAGTGTTTGTAACAGCAAAAAGTTGGAAATAACTAGTATTTGTTATTTGTGAATGGTTAATTATAGTATAGCCATACAATGGAATAGCCATACAATTATCCAATCACAAAAAAAGAATAAAACAGATTTTTGTATGCTAATATGGAATGATTTCCAAGAGATATTTGTTTTGTTTCCAAACTTTATTGAAGTATAATTGATAAATAAAATTGTAAGGTATTTCAAGTATACAACAGGATGATTTTATATATGTATATATATGAAAAGATTTCCCTCATCCATTTAACCTAGCCATCACCTCACATATTTACCTTTTTTTTTATTAAAAAAATTGTTATTGTTCATATTATTACAAATGTTCCTTCCCCTTTTCCCCCCTTCATTGCTCTCCTCCACCAGGTTCCCACCCCACCTTCTGCCCTTTCCCCATCCCCCATTGTCCTCATCCATAGGTGCACAGTTTATATTCAGTCTCTTCCCACATCCCCCTCTCCCCTTTTCCCCAAGAATCGTCAGTTCACTCCCCTTCCATACCTCTGATTCTATTATATTCAACAGTTAATATTGTTCATCAGATTTTTTTTTTATTTCCTTGGTTTTTAGATTCACTTGTTGATAGTTATGTATTTATTGTTCATAATTTTTATCTTTATTTACCTTTTCTTCCAAAAAAAACCCCATCAAGAATTCATATAATTTTGGTTTGGTGGTGATGAACTCCTTTAGCTCTTTATCTGGCCTTCGATTCTGAATGATAGCTTTGCTGGGTAGATTATCTTTGGCTGTTAAGTTCTTGCTATTCATCACCTTGAATATTTCTTGCCATTCCTGCATGGTTTCTGTTGAGAAATCAGCTGACAATTGTATAGGTGCTCCTTTATAGATAACTACCTGCTTTGCTCTTGCTGCTTTTAATATTCTCTCTTTGTCTTTTACTCTTGGAATTTTAATTATGATTTGTCTTGGTATGGTCCTCTTTGGATTCTTTTTGTTTGGAGTTCTGTGTGCTTCCTGGACTTGTAAGTCTAATTCTTTCACCAGATGGGGGAAGTTTTCTGTCACTATTTCTTTCAGTATGTTTTCGATATCTTGCTCTCTCTCATCTTCTGGGACCCCCATAATTCTGATGTTCGTTCGCTTGAAGTTGTCCCAGAGGTTTCTTACATTATCTTCAATTTTCTGGATTCTCTTGCCTTCTTGCTTCTGTGGAGGAGTGTCTTCTGGCTCTTTATGTTCCAAATCTTTGACTTGATTCTTGCGATCTTCCATTCTGTTTTTAGGACTCTGTATAATATTTTTTATTTCAGACAATGTATTCTTTATTTCTTGTTGATCCCTTATCATTTCTTGTTCATTCCTTATTAATTCTAGTTGATCCCTTTTCATATCCTCATAGGTCTTATCAACCTTTTCTAGGAAATTCTTGAAAAACTTATAAGCGTAGATTTGAACTCTATATCCAGTCGCTTTTTGTCCTCCATTTCTTTTGTTTGTGATCTGTTTCCTGGTCTCGGCATTTTCGCAGCTTCCCTGATGGGGCGGGGTTTCAGGGTGGAGCCTACAGCCCTGGTTTCCGTCAGCCCCGCCCTATGCGGTTCCTGAATCTCAGTAATCCCCAGGATCCTTCAGTACTCGCTGCAAGCACCTCTGAGAGAAAGGTGCCCTCGAGTTTCGCCTGCTACCAAACAGTCTAGGCTCTCCCCCAATGAGCCCGGAACTGGGGTTCAGTTCAGTTGGAAGTGGAGTTGGAGGTGGCGTTCAGAGCAGTCCGGAGCCCCTGTCTCCTTCCCGCCAGGGCAATCCCCCGGCACAGCCAACTGTCCCTTCTCTGTACGCAATGTGCGCGCCTCCGGGGGCTCTGCCTTTCGCTCCTCCCCCGGGGTTCCTCCTTACAGCCCAGCTCCTTATGGATGAGCCTTGGTCCCCGGGGTCTGGCCTAGAACTGGGGTTCAGAGCAGTCGGAACTGGGGCCCAGCACAGTCGGAGCTTTTATCTCCTTCCCGCTAGGGAACGCCAGCCAGGCACTCAGCCTCCCCCTCCTCTCCGGCTCCGTCCTCTCCGCGCATGCCGCATGTCTCCGTACCTTAGGCTTTTACAGCTCCTCTGCTCTTCCTTCTGGTTTTCTCCTTGCTTCTCGTTGTAGAATTTCCAGTCAGTCGACTTTCCTGTAGTTCTGGGTAATGTCCATTTTATATTTCAGTTGTATTTTATTGAAATTGTTGTGTGCGGCTACGGCTAGGTGTTTACCTGTGCAGCCATCTTGGATCCTCCCCCATATTTACCTTTTTTGTGTGTGTGTGAGAACATTTAAGTTCTACTCATTTAGCAAATTTCTGTGTTATCAGTTATAATCGCCATATTATATATTAGATTATCAGATCTTATTCAACTAACTGAAAGTTTATACCTTTTTACTAATGTCTCCCTATTTCCCATCTCCCAGTCCCTGGAAATCACGTTTTTATTCTGTTTCTATAAGTTCAACTTTTAAAAAAATATTCCACATGCAAGTGATACCATGCAGTATTATTTGTCTTTCTCTCTCTGGCTCATGCCCTCCAGTTTCATCCATGTTGTTGCAAATGACAGTTGATCCGAATCCATGCTTCTCCCAAGAGCACCTCTAAAGTCTCCTAGCACTGAAGTGTTAAATCTGTTTTGAATCATGCTTTGTTGAGTCAGTCATAATTTGGAAGTTGCAGTTAAAAAGGCAGTTTAAGGCAGAATAATATTCCATTGTGAGTGTTTGTGTGTATGTGTGTGTGCATGTGTGTTACATTTTCTTTCTTTTTTCTATTTTTGTTTTTGTTTTCTAAAGGTAGGCAGTATGCCAAAAAAGGATCTTTCCTTTGTGCTTTTTTGAAAAAAATTATTATTTTTTACTCTATGCCAGATACCAAGATAGTGGAATCCAGAGATTGCAGTGAGCAGTACAGACATATCACTTCCACATGCGTGGTTGGCCTTTAAAAGCTAACCTTTGTGTTATTTATTTCTGAGCATATGCAGTTTATTTGTTCAGGCAACACTGAATGCCTGCTCAATACTTTGGGATATATAAAGCATATCATATGAACCAAGACATCAAGAAAGCAGCTCATCAAATGTTAATGTTTTCTTTTGCCTGATGTGATATTATGTGTTGCCTTTTCCTACTCTGTTGTTGTTATAATAAAAAATTTACTTCAGCAAGTTATTTATTCTTCAAAATGGAGAACATAGTTTACTGTAAGCTTAATTTTACTTTAAATCTGAAAGAGATTGACAGTAGCATGTGTCACAAGCAAATGTATAAATATAGCTTTAGCACCAAAAGAAATCTGAAGATAAGCTAGCAGCTAGGTTCTAGCTCATCTGAAAGTAATAAATCTACATTTATTGGGAATAAAATGAAATTAATAATATAGTTTAGAAGTTTTTGTTGAATTTAGTTACCTTTCTCTAAAATACCTACAGGATTATATGATGTATTGTAAATTAGAAGTATATTATTCTATCACATTTTATCCCCCAACAGGATTCTTGGGATGGCCAGCATATTCCAGTACTTTTCTCTGTTTTCTGTGGTTTGTTAGTGGCAGTATCCTATCATCTCAGCCGACAAAGCAGTGATCCATCTGTACTTTTGTAAGTGAAATCCGTTATTATTGAGTTGAAGAAATTTAAATAAATGGGCATTTCTGATTAGTTATAGAATGCTAAATTTTTTCAGAATATATCATTTTCTAATGATTTAGTATACTTGGATCACTTGGTTTTTTTATCTTGAACTTTATTTGCTGCTGGAGGTACTGGTTATCAGGTTATATATGTATTTTTATATTAATTATTTTCTCTCCTTTTTTTAAATATAAAGCTCTTTGATGCAATCTAAGATTTTCCCAAAAACAGAAGAGAAAAATCCAGAAGACCCTCTGTCTGAAGTAAAAGATCCACTGCCTGAAAAACTTAGAAACTCCATTGTAAGTTTAAACTTTTTAAAAGCACTTAAAATACTTAAATTTTAGATAGGTCATCATATTATTTAATGAACACTTTTTGAAGCCCTTTATTAATTGGGGTAAAATGTATAGCTCTATGTATTACTTATACATTTTTGATTGCCTTTATTACAGTTTTAACATGTAAGAAATGCTCATTCCTCAAACTTGGTTTTTACATAGAACAGTATGCCAAACATCTTTTTTAGATTAGGTGAAATTAAGTCATTTCATTGTTTATAGAATTCTTAATCCTGTTCAGTTTAAACTGGCATTTGAAAGATGAATGTTAACATAAATTAGAATTTGTTATCAATTGTATTGATAAAAACTGTGTCCTTGTAAGTCATCTGCTAGTCTGTTAGTGTGTTTTATTTCTCGGGCAGTTTGAAAAGTTTGTCTGTATGTATCTTTTCCTGGTTGCAGGAGAGAACAATAACTTGGACTTAATATACATAAGTAAATATATTTCTAATTTAATGAATTTTAATGTTGCCTGCATTCTTTTAGTGTTTATTTGAAAAATGAAATTTATAGATTCATATCTGCCTTCTGGAACAAAACATAAAATTCTTTTTCTAAGTTATTATTTTAGATTTTTTTCTGTCTGTGATTTTATTTATTTAAAAAATATATTTTTATTGATTTCAGAGAGGAGAGGGAGAGAGAGATAGAAACATCAATGGTGAGAGAGAACCATGGCTTGGCTGCCTCCTGCATGCCCCACACTGGGGATTGACCTGCAACCCGGGCATGTACCCTTGAGCAGAATTGAACCTGAGACCCTTCAGTTCACAGGCTGATTCTCTATCCACTGAGCCAAACCAGCTGGGCTGTGACTGACTATATAGGTCTTGAATTAAACACAGTGTTTGCCTTCAGTAACTTGAGCTATTCACATATTCTTTAGGGAACTTCAGAAATAAAAACACTGCCTCAAGATAAAATTTAAGCAATTTTTTTTTCTGACTTTAGTTTCCATGTTAGCAAAGGATACTTAACATTAAATGTAATACTTCTGAATAATCTGCTTCATAGTGTAAACCTATGTGTCAGTCAATGACCAGAGCTATCAAGAGGTTTCTGGTTTTTGCTATAACCACTAAAAGAACCATAATCCAGTAAGTAAAATAGGACATGTACATGATTTCAACATTTTAAAAGATTAATGAAAGTATAACTTTGTTATCCAAAAGGATATGCCCTATACTAGTCAATGATACAGTAATTTAAGTATCTCATTTCCTTTTCCTATAAAACTTAGTCCATTGGGGGAAAGTAATATGCAGCTTCAATAAAAGACATTATGATATAGTACATAATGTGATGAGTAAGTTTAATTTCCTTGGTATTGCAATGTCAAACCAAAATAGGAAGAAATTAAGGAAGAAATGAAGATTTAGAAATAGAAATGCTAAAAAAAAAAAAAAAAAAAAATAGGATCAGTGAAAAATTGTTTCCTAAACAGTTTGCCAGTTTGAAATGAAGGAAATACTTTACTTTGTTTTGACAATTCTGTTTTGTTTCACAGAGTGAACGTTTACAGTCTGACCTAGTGGTGTGCATAGTGATTGGTGTGCTGTATTTTGCTATTCATGTGAGCACAGTGTTTACAGTATTGCAGGTAAGGAATCACTTAGCTCTTTGGGTTGGGAGAAAATAACTTTGTTTGGGTTCATTTCTGATTTGATTGTAATGTTAGTTTATAAATGTAGAAATGAGATTTCCCCAAAGTCTTGTTCCAGTACAGCTGGAAGTCTAGAACCTCATCCTCTAGCTCTGGTCTAGGTGTTGTTCCTGCTCATCTGTCAGCCACACATTACTGTTCTCAGTGCTCTTCATTCTTTTGTGCAGATCCCTGGTTCCTCGCGGTGTCAGGGTGTGATGTAGTTTCATATAGTTTTCTTCACTTGGGTTACCTTGACTCCGTGGTCAGTTGTCATCAAATTAGAAAAATTTTGGCCTCTGTTACTTCCAATGTTCTTTCTGTCCTCCCCTCTCTCTGCTCTGTTGACTAACTGTCCCCGCAACCCCTTACACACACACACACACACACACACACACCCACCCACCCACCCACCCACCCACCCGCCTTCCGCTATCCACCCCTATCTCCTGACTTCATCTTAGGCCTCTTGAAGTTGTCCCATGTGAGTCACTGATGCTCTGTTCATTTTGGTCTTTTTTTGTATGTGTACTTATTTTGAATACAGATTAATCCCTTCTAGTATATTTTTCATTTCAGAATTTATCATTTTCATCTTACATTTAAGTCTTTTTCTTTTTTCTTTCCATGCCTCTACTTAATCTTTTGAACATAGGAAATTCAGTTTTTACTCTTTGAATGTCCTTTTATCCTAATCTAACTTCTCACTTGTGGGTTGGTTTTGATTAATTAATTTTTCCCCTTTATGGGTCATAGTTTTCTGATTCTTTGCATGTTTGGTAATTTTTTATTGGGGGCCAAGTTTTTTGGTATTGTATATTTTTATATTCTAGAACTTTTCTTGAATTTTGTTTTTCAGTAGTTAGGTTATTTGTTAATAGTTTAATCCTTTCAGCCCTTGCTTTTAACACATTGCAGACCAGTAGTTTTATTGCTAGCTTTACCCAGTGGCCAGATAAGTTTCTATTGAATGAGTAAAAAAATGTTTTACATAAATGTTAAAGGCCCGCTTTAAAATTAAATACCCATTGCATTTTGAAGTTATTTATTACATGTTCTTACAAGTTAATATCTTTAAAAATACGATACTTTGTAAAACACTATATAATATGAAGCAGGAATTCTCGTGATCTGTCCACAATGTGTTAAAATTTGTTAAGTGAAACCAGGATTGGTTTTAGTGTAGGCTAATCTTCCTCTCCCTGAGGCAGCACCCCTTTGACTGTGCTCAGTGCCCTGTGAACCCAGAGCTTTTCCAGTCTGGCTGTGGGGACAGGCAGTGCCTGGCCCTGTGTGCGTGCTGGGTGCTGTTCTCTCCAGGCCTCTCCTCTGAATCTTTCCCTGCTCTCATGGAGTTTTCTCACACACTCATGCCCATTCCCCTGAATACTCAAGGGAACCCTCTGCAGATCTTCACATTTTTCTCTTTTGTGCATAGTTTGTTGTGGTGACCTCTACCTGTTTTAGTCTCTCCAGACTCCCAGTTTCATTCTATCAATTTGGGGCACCAGGCTTTGTGTGGGTTCCCTCCCCGCACTGCAACCAGGAAGTTGCCTCAAGGCAGTAAACTGGGGCAACCCTGACACTGACTATCTCTCTTCTTTCTCTGCGGGTTCACTCTTTATTTCCTTAGGTCTAGCGTATTGCAGACCATTTGGTTCATATATTTTATTCTTTTTTTGGTTGTGTCATTTGGGAGAGTTAATCTCTATTATTCCATTTGGCCAGAAGCAAAGTTTATATGATTTAATTTTATTTAACATTTTGGTCTGTTTTTCTTTTCTTCAATTTGAACTACTCATTCTTGAACACTACAAGTCAAGTCGGGTCTAGTGGGTGTTCAGGGCTCAGAGGGAGGAGGGCTCTTCATGTCCAAGAGGTTCTAAAGTTTCTAAATATGTGACTTCAGTTTAAATATTTAGGTGATGTACTTGGTTTCCTCTTTTGTGAGTTTAGTCATACATAAGAACTGCCTTCTAATGCTGTGCCATGTGCCTTCACATGAAGGCACCAAAAAAGGTTCTTTTTTTTTCATCCTAGTCTGCTCCTCACTTAGACTTACAGTTTTTTTTTGGCTCGTGTCCTTCATCTCTGCCAGTTAAAACAATGTAATCAACCTTGCTCTGCAAGTCGCTTAGACCATTCTTAGAATAGTGAGCAGTACACTCCAAGCCTTCCTCTCTTTACTGTATAGACACCAAAAAAAGTAATGAACACATTTAAAATATTTGTAATACATAAACAGCCACTGACTTTCATAGCTGACTTAATCAGAAAAACTACCTGATATAAAAATATTAACTTAGACAAATGTTTAAATCTTAGATTCTAAAATTGACTTTTCCGTTCTCCATTATCATATGGCAAGTTGAACTAACAAATGAGAAGTTCTCCTGTGGGTCTCAAAATCACGTTTGATTATCTCCACCATGTTTTTTAGCCTGCTCTCAAGTATGTGTTGTATGCACTGGTTGGCTTCGTGGGTTTTGTAACCCATTACGTGCTGCCTCAAGTCAGAAAACAGCTGCCGTGGCACTGCTTCTCTCACCCTCTGCTGAAGACAGTGGAGTACAACCAATATGAAGTTCAAAGTGAGTATTTCAGTAACACCCTTCTTTTCACTTCTCTTGGTTTCCTCTTTTCTGTTAACAGATGAAAGTTAAATAGTATCATCAAGTAACACTTTGGCTTTGAAGCTGTAAAGGGTCAAACAAAGCAGGATGCTTTTATTTTAGTTAAGTAAAATATCAAGTGATACAAAGCCAAATTTCCACAAAATAAAATGTCCTTCTTCCTTCCCTCAGTTGTTCTTCACAGACTTCATTGATGCACCTTCTGTGCATGTTTGTGACTTATCTTTCTAGTCCCTACTCTTTAATTTTTCTTGCCATGTGCAGGCAGCACAATCTTCTTTAAGGGTTCTATTTGAAATATTTTAACTCAAAGCTTAGGGGAAATAGAAAGATCTTTGTTTCTGCTTCCACCAGAGGCACTATGTACTACCACAAAGGGTATAAAAGAGTTGATGAGAAGAAAAGTAATTAAAACTTTTGTAGTTGCATTATTCATTCTGACTTGGAATAAAGTATAAAATGACTCAAAAAGAGGTGGAAGGCCCGTCCACTAAGCAAGGTTCGTGCTTGCCACTTGACACCCTGACTTTTCTTTCATGACTTAAATATTCAGTCCTGTTGGCCCCATGCATGACCTGTAATAGTCATCATTTCAGAGAAATAATAAACCTTCATACTTCTGTCATTCGTTACATATTAGTAATTAAATAGGCCAATGCTTTTCCTCAAACTCTTTTTCAGTTTGTAATTTACTATAGAGAGGAAATTCCTCAGTTGTTTGAAGATGTTAACTTCCTTAGAGAACTGAAAGCTTTCTATACCAAGCTTTCTATACCAAAGCAAATTTCCTAGGCCTTTAGCAAAATTGCTTCAAGGATCATGTCATCTTGATCACCAGTTTGATCCTGGAGAGGGAATGAAATAAACGCTAGTGTGTAGGTTTCAGTGATAACACTACAGACCTTTTACAAAATGTGTACTTTTTAGATAAGGGAAAATGACATAAAATTGTATAAGAATCTGTACTGATCCATTTTTACCATCAAGAAAATAACTCAGAATGATGTTTTTTTTGTTTTTTTTAATGAACTATTAGTATTGCTTTCATTTGTAAATAAGTATATCTGGTTTGTTTTAAACAGCAATTTTCATTAGAGTAAATCATTGATCATATTGTTTTTTTCATTTTTTATCTTAACATTTATTCTAAATTTTTACAAATTTTGAATCAACATTTTTCACTTATTGAAGGTACTAAGTATTAACAACGTTGACTCCCCCCACCCCCCCTACTGATTTTAGCAGCTGAAGGAAAAATATTCATTAGAGAACGTCCTGAATCCTGGTGACATTGTTTTCATATAGCTAGAGAACTTTATTTTAAATATTTCAGTTTATCCTAGATACTTTGTCCAATGAAATAATATTAAAGTATTGAAAAAATATTATTGACAATGAAAGTGACTAGTACAAAATATGTGAATAAAAAACATATTTTCATATATCTTCTGAGATGTAGTCTTATGAGGTATGTCTAGGATTTTAAAAACAAAGGGGCAGTCTAATACGTTAGTAACTTTTTCTCTAAAAGTTATTGGCATAAGTGAGAAAGAGTTCTAAGAATTAAAGTTTAAAATAAATTTCATCTATATTTAAGTCACGTATGAGTTGCGAAGTTGGATGTGTTTCAGTAGTCCTAGAAGTTGATGATTGAAGTACTGGGTTTCTGAATTTATCTAGAGTAGAGCTGAATTTGAGTTGTAAAATTTTCCTTTCTCATCCCATTGCTTTTATACACTAGATGATGTGGTCTTGACTTATATTTCCTTATTAGATGCAGCCACTGTAATGTGGTTTGAGAAACTTCATGTGTGGCTTCTTTTTTTGGAGAAGAATATCATCTATCCATTGATTGTTCTTAATGAACTGAGTAGCAGTGCAGAGACAATTGCTAGTCCAAAAAAACTGGATACAGAGTAAGTATAAAACTCCTCTAATCTAAGTTGGACTACTGGGGACAGTCAGAAGAACTGTTAAAGTTATTCATCAAGTTACAAGTAATTGAGTGTCTTTTTGGAGCAAGACACTGTGAGATAAAATCCAGGCGGGCCCTAACTCGTTCAGTGGATAGAGCATCAGCCTGCGGACTGAAGGGTTCCAGGTTCCATTCCAGCCAAGGGCACGTTCCCGGGTTGTGGGCTTGATCCCCAGTAGGGGCGTGTAGCTGATCAGTGATTCTCTCATTATTGATGTTTCTATTTCTCTATCCCTCTCCCTTCCTCTCTGATATCAATAAAAATATATTAAAAATAAAATCCAGGTAAAATTTTGTGTATGACTTTTCTTTTCTGAACATCTGTTTTGCTCTTGAACAAAATTATGTTTTCTGAACATCATTTCACTACTCCAAACATCTTATTATCGATTGATACTTGCTGAGAGGACACTTATTAAATAATGTTATTCTTTAATATTAGATGGTAAGTTTGGAAAATTGTTATTTTTGTGAACTGTAAATCAGAACATATACAAGATGGGGAAAAAGTGGATTTATAGTTATACATGAAACGCAATTTATTCTTGTATTATTATTTAGTAACTAGAGGCCCGGTGCATGAAATTTGTGCATGGGTAGGGTTCCTAGCCTGGTCAGTAATCAGACCAATCAGGTTCCCCACCTCCTTCCTTCACTTCTTCAGTGCTCTGCCACTGCTGCTACTGGGTGCCTGCTATGGTCCTCCTTGCCCCCTGGTAGTCAGCCTACATAGTGAGTGATTGAGCTCCCAAGTCTGCTGGTTGAACTCCCGAGGGAACGATTTGTATATTAGTCTTTTATTATATAGGGTTATTATATTTTTTCCATATGAACAATTTTAAGTCTATGTTTGCCCCACCCTGTGTAGTTGGCCTACCCTCTAGACTAGGTATATATTGTTGGTGGGTAAGTGTTAATGTTTTTTTATGTGCTAAATGCTATTAATGTTAAAGCAGTAGAAAAGTTGAGAGACTGGAAAACCAAAATCAGAATTATAATACTGCTAATAGTCATAATGCATATTACTAAAAGTGAATATTATGGTAGTTTATTTTTGGATGTGATTTGCTTAGCTATATAAATTGTTTTTAGAAGTTTAAATTTGTTATCTATATTGTAAGCTTAGTAAATAAAATGGTGGTTTTTCTGAAGTTAGTAGATTTTCTCGAGTTTTCAGTCATTGGTTGATGAACTGTGCTGTCTTTTTATTCTAGACTAGGTGCTTTAATGATCACCATTGCTGGTCTGAAGTTGCTCCGATCCTCCTTTAGCAGCCCTACATATCAGTATGTCACAGTTGTCTTCACTGTGCTCTTCTTCAACATTGACTATGAAGCATTTTCAGAGACCATGCTATTGGATCTCTTCTTCATGTCCATACTCTTCAGCAAGGTAATTCATTACTAGAGGAATAGCCCTCTCTGTAAAAAGCACCTCCCCAAGTAATGCACTGCTTAGTGAGGATTATCCTTACATTTTATTCATGACATTATCTTTTAAGTAATACCTTTCTTCATTTAACCAGTTATTTAGGAGCATATTAGAATTTCTAAATAATGCTAGTCATGTGACCCATAAGACATACTTCTTGTAATAGCTAAGAAAATAAGGTTAAGTTAAATGGAACCATTAGAAAAACACCAATAAGTATATATATTTAAATATATAGGGTCTTCCAAAAGGGGGGTGTAGTTTGGGGATAATTTCAGAAATAGACATGGTAACAATTGAACTGGACTGTGGGCTACTAGATAGATGGAGAGAGAAAATAACCTGAAAGCTGATTGAAGATGGTGATACCCAGAACAGTCAGGCTATGTGAGAGCAATCAAAAATTAGTTTGATAAGGACAATTGTAGAATGCTCTGAAGTTTACAAAATGGTTCTAAAATTTGCTATCCACCATAAGAGAGGTGCTTTTAGTCCTTTTATGAATGAGATGGTAAAATCTGGCCCTTCTGCCTTACCATTCCAAGGACATTTTTGCTGAACCACACTACTTTTCTAAATGAAGTTTGTTATGCAGTCAGGTTATTTGTAAGTTAAATAGAGCTTAGATTTCATGTTAACGCTGACCACATGCAAAGGACTTTGACATATATTATCCCATTTGATAGGTAACAGAGCTGAAGCATATGAGCAGCTACAAAACACAATGAAAGCCCCATTTTAGGAAAGTTAGCCTGGTCAGCCACATTTGGGATGAATTGGGGAAGAGAGAACCTGAAGGTATGGAGCACAGCTTAAGAGATTGTGACAGTAATTTAGATGTGATAGAGATCTGACCTAGGATGGGAACAGTACACATTGGAAACCATTAATCTGAACAAGGTTTTAGTGATGATCAGTTTCAAAATATTATGCTAAATATTAAGCTAAATAACTTCTAAAATATTGCAATATTATATTTGCTCAATCACTAATTTGTATACATTTTTTATTATTTATTTCCTCTTCTAGTGAGCATGGTTAACCAAAGGAGGAAGCCAGAAAGTTAATCAGAGAATTGTTTGTATAAAGAAGCATGTGGTGTCTCATAAAGTTAAATATTTAGATTGGAAATTGCATTGTGTCTTTTTATATTGGTTGGGAAAACACTGAAAATTGCAGTAAAATATAAACTGAATAATCCTTGAAATAGAGTCACTGCATTTACTTGTATTAGTTTGGATTTTCTTAATGCTTTCATTTGTTAAGCAAATTGTTTTTGAGAGCATACCCTGTTCAAAAAAAGATTTGTCCTTAGAAGTTTACATTTTATATGGCTACTTGAGAGAACTTACAAGCTATATAATAAGCAAGTAATAACCAAGGGTTCTCTTTAGGTAGATTTTTAAAATATATATATTTTATTGTTTTTTACAGAGAGGAAGGGGGAGGGATAGAAAATCAGAAACATGGATAAGAGAGAAATATCAATCAGCTGCCTCCTGCATACTCCCTACTGGGGATGTGCCCACAACCAAGATACATGTCCTTGATTGGAAATGAACCCTTCAGCCGATGCTCTATCCATTAAGCCAAACTGGTTAGGACTAGGTAGATTTTTTAAGATACCATTGTAAAATGCACTATTGATTTAATAGCCTTTAAAGAAAAAATTATTCTGAATGTATACAAAAATATTTTTACCCACTAACTACTTAGCTGTGTAATTGTATATTATTTTTTTCTTCAATATTACAGTCAAAATTAGAGTACAGTCTCTTTCACATCTAGACTCTGGACAGTTTTCTGAATCACTGCTTTTAGCAGTTATAATGGCATCTTGATAGTATACATCCTGCTTTTACTTCCTGTCATCCTGAACACATTACTACCAAAAATCACCAGCATAGTTTGGGGCCATGACAAAGAATGCAAGGATTCATCTGCATTTTCTAATTGGTTGAAGTTATTTTTTTTTTAAATTTAAAGTTAAACAGATTCATTGTAAATCAGCTAAACCATTTAAATATGAGATGTATGAATCATGGCACAGAGTGAATCAGAACCTCTTTTAAGATTCTGTGATCTGTTTGGAGAATTGGGCCTTGCACTACCTAGCATGCAGAGGCAATCTTGGGCATGTATACTAGTTTTGTTTCGGTGTTGAAGACATGTTCAACAACAAAATAGATCCTAATTTAAATAAGACTTAAAAGTGTTTCCATTGAAAATAACAGTTGAGATTACATGCAAATGCTTAATATTCATGTGAATTCTTAGGCAAACAGGCAGTGACACTGTATTACAACTTCATCCTCTGCCTGGCCACTTTTAGATTTCTTGGATCTTTGCATTTAAAACATACCCAGTTTGCAGAGCACTAAAATTCGAGGGAAACATCTTAGAATCAAAATATATATGCATTACTTCAGCTTTATAGACATCTGGATTTTCTATCTTTCGTTATTTTGCTTGTTTAGTATTGAATGGCTAATAGTGGGCATAGAATTTTTTGAACAGATGGAACACATTTCATAAATCAGCGAGCTGTCTTTACTTAAAAATATATAATGTCTCAGAAGTTGCTGTATCTTTTTTATGCAAATGGCAAATAATGTCAATACCATTTTTCTACTAGGTAGACAAACATTTTAGGGTGCTTTATTTTATTTTTCAAATATCCAATATGTTTTTTACTGATTGAATTTTTTCTTTTTTCCTTCTACAGCTTTGGGAGCTCCTTTATAAACTGCAGTTTGTGTACACTTACATTGCCCCCTGGCAAATTACATGGGGTTCTGCTTTCCATGCTTTTGCTCAGCCCTTTGCAGTGCCCCGTATCCTTATCATAAAAGTTTTATAAGAAAGGCAGTCATACCCTTGAGGAAAATGTTAGTTTGTAGGGATAACCTTTCACAGGCATAGGACATAGGTTACCATGTGATAAACTATCAAAAACTCGCTATTCTTTGAGTCCACATTTATGCTGACTTAGATTGTTTAACTTGTATTAACATCTGTGCCCCACAAATCATCTGGACATGAGAAAAGTTTTATGGTTTTATAATTAAATAATGCTAATTTAAAAAATTATATTTATATATATGAGTATTAAAGTCCGAGAATTTTTTAAAGTCATTTTTTAATTTTTCAATTAGAGCTAACATGCTGTATTATTTAGTTTCAGGTGTACATTCCAGTGATTAGACATTACATAATTTATTCTCTTAGATCATCCTGATCTATCATGAATTTTCAATAAATACAAAATGTGTTTAGAAATATTTTTAAATGAATGAAGATACAAAACATTTTTGATAATCCTATGTCTAAAATCTTCTATTCTCATCATTTCTTAAAAGTACTTTATAAATAAAAGTAAAGGTTAGTGTCCCACATAAATTTTGGAATGTAGATTATTTTTTTATCTGTAAAGTTTAGGTTCATCCCCTGAAAAATTAAATCCAAGTATCTCTACCCAGAAGTGACATGTGGGCTTTAATCAAATACATGTCGGCAGATATTTATTTAGCTCCCTTTCAACCATGGTGCCTTTCATCAGGCTATGTCTACTTGTAGCCATGTGCTGTCTAGTGGCACCTTTTCCTCTATTCCTCTCATGAATGTTATTTCTCTAATTGCTATAATTGCAGCGTGTTTGTGAGTTGTGTGTGTGTGTGTGTGTGTGTGTGTGTGTGTGTGAGAGAGAGAGAGAGAGAGAGAGAGAGAGAGAGTGTGTGTGTGTGTGTGTGTGTGTGTGTGTGTGTGTATGTGGTTTGTGTATACTCAGATGGATATTAAGGTCCTTAACCAGTTTTCTCATAGATTCAGCAATGCTATTTGTTCAGGCTGCTGTATCAGCCTTCTTTTCTACACCACTGAACCCCTTCCTGGGAAGTGCAATATTCATCACTTCATATGTTCGACCTGTGAAATTCTGGGAGAGAGACTATAAGTGAGTAAAATAAAGCATTTGAAAGCCAGTTTTATCTTTCATATTAGAAAACTATTGACAGCATAATTTTATGTAATCCAGGATTGTTAATTGTTAATTTTTTGTGTTAAATTACTTTGTTAAAATTTTATAAATACTTATAAAAGTCTCAAAATTATATAAAATTAGTCTATGGCCATACCACCCTGAACGCGCCTGATCTCAAAATTATATAATATTAGAAGAGTCAGAGAATAATTACTCTTTATTTCTCAACCTTTTTTCTATTGATAAGATTTTTAAATTACGTTTATAGTTAACATTAGTTAATTATAAGATTTTAAAACATATTTTTAGTTGGATATACTGATTTTTCTGTTTTTCCTTTTAGTACTATTTCTTAGAATTGTTCCATGTTAATAATACTCTGAAGTGTTACACTATACTAGAGGCCTGGTGCATGAAATTTGTGCACGGGGGAGGGGTTGTCCCTCAGTCCAACCTGCACCCTCTCCAATCCGGGATCCTTGAGGGATGTCCAACTGCCTTTTTAGGCCCAATCCTGCTCACCTGCCTCTGCCTGATTGCCCCTAAATGCTTCTATCTGATCACTCCTTAACTACTCCCCTGCCAGCCTGATTGATACCTAACTGCTCTCTTACTAGCCTGTTTGCCCCTAACTGTCCTACCCTGCAGGCCTGGTCACCCCTAACTGCATTCCCCTGCAGACCTGGTCACCCCTAAATGCCCTCCCCTGCAGGCCTGGGTCCCCCCAACTGCTTTTCCCTGTAGGCCAGGTCACCCCCAACTTCCCTCCTCTACCGGCCTGGACATCTGCCCTCCCCTGCAGGCTTGATCGCCCACAACTGCCCTCCCTTGTAGGCCTGATCCCTCCCAACTGCCTTTCCATGCTGGCCATCTTGTGGCAGCCATCTTGTGTCCACTTAGGGGCAGCCCTCTTGTGTGCTGGAGTGATGGTCAATTTGCATATTATTCTTTTATTAGATAGGATTAGATGGGATAGAGGCCTGGTGCACAGGTGGGGGCCCGCTGATTTTCCCTGAAGGTTGTTCCGGATCAGAGAGGGGGGTTCACTTGGGGCATGGGTTGGCCTAGGCGAGGGGCCTGTGGTGGTTTGCAGGCCAGCTATGCCCCCCAGTGACCTAAACGGAGGCCCTAGTATCTGGGATTTATTTATCTTCTATAATTGAAACTTTGTAGCCTTGAGTAGAGGCCAAGACAGGCTAGTGGTGCAGGAGCTTGGCTTCCTCCATTGCCAAGGAAACCCAAGCCTCCTGCTTGCTCTGTGGTTGCAGCCATCTTGGTTGGGTTATTTTGCATCCTGATTGGCTGGTGGCTGTGGCTTATGGGTATATCATAGTGATGTTAATTTGTATATTACTCTTTTATTAGATAGGCTTATGTTTTTTTCACGAAGCTTAGTTTTCAGTGGCCATTTTGTACATGAAGTTTTCTCCATTTAGGCTTAGTTCCTTGGGCTCTTTAATCTGATTCCTAAAAATTATCCTTTTATGTAATCTCTCCAAATTTCTTTTTCCTTTTAAGTTAAGAAAGACTATCTGTAAGGGAACTAACTGAGTCATGGAGCTTAAACATTTTATATGTATTAACATTGATTCAGAAAAGGCTTGTACTGCTTTGTCATTCTACTGGCCATCGCCATGACTGCGTTTTTCCTACTCTTTCACATGTTGGCACATATAGGTGAAAATGGTAGTCTCACTATTTAAACAGTGAACTAGCTTATGGATTTGAAACTTTCGCTCTGATCTTTTCTAAAAACCACACATGGTGTTTTTCCTTTTGGTGAATTTTAGTGTTTTTAATATTCTGTTCTTTTGGGACAAGTTAAATTTAGCCCCAAATTCTATCTGTGGCTACAATTCTTAACCTGCCTGGTCTCAGAAAATTTTTACATTCTTAAAAGTTACTGGGACCCTGGACAGTGTTGCTCAGCATTTAAAGCATGGGCCACACACAGTTTGATTCCCAGGCAAGAGAACGTACCTGGGTTTCATGTTCGCTCCCCACTCCAAGTTGGGGCAGGTGTAGGAGGCAGCCTGTCGATGAGTCTCTCTTACATCGATGTTTCTCTCTCCCATTCCCTCCCTTTCACTCTGAGAAGCAAGGGAAAAAATATCCTCAGATGAGGCTTGACAACAACAAGTTATTGAAAGTCTCCAAAGAGTTTTGTTGCTATGGGTTTTATCTACCAATATTTACTGTATTAGAAAACTTAAATTTAAATGTTTATTATTTTAAAAATATTATTTTAAAAATACCATTAAAAATAAACAAAAATAAAATTTTTGAAATAAAAATAACTAAATTTTCCATCCCACCAAAACAATCAGTGAAAAGTGTCATCTATACTAATAAAAGGGTAATATGCTAATTAGACCAGGAGAGCTTCCAGACAAAGCTATGGTGGCAGGGCTGAAACAGAGGCATTAGGGGTGACCAGACCAGCAGAGGGGGCCAGTTGGAGGAGAGTAGGTCACCAGGGGGGCACAGTTGGGGGTGAGCAGGCTGGTGGGGGAGCAATTAGGGGCAATCAGACCAGCAGGCAGAGTGGTTAGGGGCGATCAGGCAGGCAGGCAGGTGAGCAGTTAGAAGCCAGTGGTCCCGGATTGCGAGAGGGATGTCCAACTGCCAGTTTAGGCCTGATCCCACAATCTGGCACATCTCCCCGAGAGGTGCCAGATTGGAGAGAGTGCAGACCGAGCTGAGGAACACCCCTTCCCCATGCACATATTTCGTGCACTGGGCCACTCATTGGTTTATAAATCTCTTTAATGTCTGGCTTAATAAAAGACAGCTCAAATCCTGGCCGGTTTGGCTCAGTGGATAGACTGTGGGCCAGCGGATTGAAGGGTCCTGGGTTTGATTTCTGTCAGGAGCGCGTACCTCAGTTGCAGGCCAGGAGCATTCGGGAAGCAACCAATCAATATGTCTGTCTCACATTCGTGTTTCTCTCTCTTCCATGCTTTCTAAAACTAAATGGACAAAACATCCTCCAGTGAAGAGTTTAAAAAAAAAAAAAAAAAAAAAGACAGCTTGACTCTCTTTTCTGCTGCTGCATTCAGTCTGTTGTTGCCATGTACTGTTTTGGTTGAAGTATATGAAGAAAATCTGGCCTCACAGACACAGTTGGAAAAGAAAGAATTGTTTTGATTGCCATTTTATTCAACTGTGGATATTCTTTGATCTTTGAGTAAAAGTCGACAAATGGTTTGTTTCCTAAAGATTAGTTGAAATGTGGAATCTAAAACCATATCCATGAATTTCTGGAACTATGTTACATCATAATCTACTGAAAAGTCTTAACACTTTGGATGGATCTTTTTACCTACGTATAATCTTATAACATCTTTTATTGATCATTTAGGAAAAATTGCTTCACTGAATAATGTAGAGCTTCCAAATTTTGACATATTTTAGTAAATAATATTTTTTAAAATGTATTCATTCATATCACCTCCAATCCCAAAAGAAAACCATATTTGAGTATTGAGATACTACCAAGCTCATGGTGTTAAATATAAATTTTCCAAAATTCTAATTTTTGCTTAAAAACTTCTATTATTGGCAACAGCTGTGCCATCCTTGTCAGTTGTTTTCTTTGAAATGGCAGACTTGCTGTCTTCATTTTTGAGAAATGTTTGTCAAATACCTAGGGCTGAATTATCATAGTTTATCCAACAGCCATTCAAGTAAAAATGCCTCCTGTGAAAAAAGTACCCAGTGCAGCTTATAAATCCAGCAGTTCCCTCAAGATATCCACCCTACTCAGCATGCAGCAAAGGTGCTATACGTGCCACACACTGAATTAGAAAGAGGGCTTGTAATTTAACAAAATTAATACTTGTTCATTAAGAACATTTTAAGGTAGTAGTTGAATTAAAAAATATATATATATTCTATTGATTTTTTTACAGAGAGGAAGGGAGAGAGATAGAGAGTTAGAAACATCGATGAGAGAGAAACATTGATCAGCTGCCTCCTGCACAACCCTACTGGGGATGTGCCTGCAACCAATGTACATGCCCTTGACCGGAATCGAACCCGGGACCTTTCAGTCTGCAGACCAATGCTCTACCACTGAGCCAAACCTGTTTCGGCAGAAATTGAATTTTTAAAAATACATATATTTTTATTGATTTCAGAGAGGAAGCGAGAGGGAGAGAGAGATGATAGAAACATCAATGATGAGAGAGCATCATGGATTGGCTGCCTTCTGCACACTTACTGGGATCAAGCCCACAACCCAGGCAGGTACCCTTGACCGGAATTGAAGCTGGGACCCTTCAGTCTGCAGGTTAATGCTCTATCCACTGAGCCAAACCGGCTATGGCTGGAAGTTGAATTTTTATTGTATTTTGTCTTGTGCGTGTGTGTCAGTAACAAATAGTACAATCTGGTGCCCCTACCTTGTTTCATGTTAAAGCACCAGCAGTCTTATCCACCTTGATCTGTACTATCAGTGCAATTGACATCACAGTGAAAGAAACAAATAATTGCTCAATATTATTTTGAAAATAGTTTTGATGTGGAAAGTTCCCTGGAAGGATCTTGAGTTTCCTACTCGGGGTTCTGTGGACCACGTTTTGGGAACCACTGTTAAAAGGAACACTGAGCATTAATAGATGTTACCTTCCCCTTGCAAAGAATTTTTCATGCACTGTGCATCTTTAAGATCTATATAGAGTGTGGTTTGTTTGTTTTTTCCTCATCCTGCTTAATTATGTTTTTACATTAAACTCAACAATGTTTCTACACACTGTTCAGTGACACACCAGTTAGGAAATAACTGCTGTGTTTTTGTATGATGGATGTGGGAAAGTGAAAAAATCCTCTAATTTTGTTACTGCAGAGTTTTATCTATATACTAACCATAGATTTTTCTCAGCAATAGTCATAAAGTGGTAATATTTATTTCATCAATATTGTATAGTAGTTTTTTCTTAATAGGCATTTTTAAATATAAAAAAACTGACTAAAAATGTTTTATTTTGCCATCTTCAGTACAAAACGAGTGGATCATTCAAATACCAGATTGGCTTCCCAGCTTGATAGAAACCCAGGTAACAGCTCTGTTTGTGAATCAAGAAGCCTGTCGAATGAATTTGTTACATATATATTTCACTCCCAACTTGTTAGGAATCCTGTGTGGGTTCCAAATGGTCATTTTTAAACCAAATACCTTTTGCTTTATTTTGTTTACTTTAGCAAAATATACATGACTTAGAGTATCTACAACTTAGATATCCATATTTGATTAAATGTATTTTAAGAACACTGAATGGGATAAAAATTGCCATTCAAAGATTATTCTTACATAGGTTAAAAAGTAGTACATGGTCAAAGTAAAATTGGTTAGCTATCTTGAATACTATGTAATCTAACCAGTATATGTTTTATTAATATGTTTTGCTTCCCCCCTTCTCTGAATGTTTAGGTAAATATTAATTTAACTTTATTTAGTTAATTGACAGAAAGGTCATGTAGGAGGGCCAAATAGCCATTTAACACAGCGCCTTATTGAGTAGCACTTGGTAGTGTTACCATTTCTAAAGTCTGGTTCTTGGTTTTGTCGTTTGGGGAACTTTTGTTGGCCCACCCATTAGTAATCTGACACAGAAAGTGTGAATCACATTTCTCCAATCACAGAAAATCCAATGTATTAATTTACTAAAAGAAATATTACTCTCAAATAGACTGAAATACTTGTATTCATTTGACTCGAAGATTCCTTGCAGTGCTATCTACTTAAGAAACTAAATTATAATAATCAGATTAATTTATAATTATAAAATTGGATTAAGGAGAACTAATTAATTGATATCAATGGCCGTCATTATCACATTCTGGTAGATAAAACAACCATCTCAGCTCTAGTATGTCTTTGTAAGGGGCATGGAATTCTCACGATGCTGATGATGCCATTCTGTAGATCAAAGTGGCCGTGTCCTGAGTTAGTATGAATCTGTATGCATACTTTGTAGTGGTCAGATGGAGCATTATACCAGACCATTGTATTGAAGACAGAGTCTGGGGTTCCCCTTTCATTATTATTTAGTTAAGTTGAGTTTAAAGGCACCCATTTATAGGTTATTGCCTTGTGTGGGTTATTTCTGAAGATGGTCATTTCATTTATTGGGTAATGTTTTACTCTCTTTTTTTTTTCTTAAACTTTTATAGATTCTTTGCTGCTGTTTCTATATATACAGTTTATTTCTATTGAAAATTAGTTTTAGCCATCTTAATAGATAAATTATTTTGACTGATAATTTATCTTTGTTTTGAACTATCTTGTTTGTTCAAGTCTTGTATTACCCATTTTCTTTACTAGTATGTCTTTTTAATATATTTTATTGATTTTTTACAGAGAGGAAGGGAGAGAGAAAGAGAGCTAGAAACGTCGATGAGAGAGAAACATCGACCAGCTGCCTCTTGCACACCCCTTACCGGGGATGTGCCCGCAGCAACGTACATGCCTCTGACCGGAATCGAACCTGGGACCTTGCAGTCCGCAGACCGACGCTCTACCACTGAGCCAAACCGGTTTTGGCACTAGTATGTCTTTTTGTTCTAGTTCTGATTTTCAGAAAAAAATCTCTTTTCATTTCTCTTGCATGGTTTTAACTATAAGGCATAGTTCAATAAACAGTGTTAGAAAAGATTTTGGACTATTAAAAAGGTGGAAAGACCTTAGATTTCACCTGCTCCAATTGCTGCATTTTATGGATGGGAACCAGAGATTCAGAGAGGTTACGTGACTTCTAACCCTAAATTCTGAAACTTTGGCCATCACTCTGTTTTTCTTTTTTGTATAAAAATTGTAAGTTTGAATATTATTGTCCTTGTAAAAAAAATAAAGATACAACCCTAACTAGAAATTAGTTTTAATATGTTTAACACTCTTGTATATTCAAATAACGTGATTTTAGGGTGAAATTTAACATTTTTAAAAAATCCCTTCTTATAGGGTCAGATGACAACAATCTGAATTCCATCTTTTATGAACATTTAACCAGATCCCTACAACACAGTCTCTGTGGTGATTTGCTCCTAGGACGGTGGGGAAACTACAGTACAGGGGACTGTTTCATTCTTGCCTCTGACTACCTCAATGCATTAGTACACCTTATCGAGATCGGCAACGGGCTGGTCACTTTCCAGCTGCGGGGACTTGAATTCAGAGGTAAGAAGGACACCTCTTATTCCTATAATGGACTCCTGTGGTATCTGAGTTTTCTGTGTTTACATTGCCAATCAAAAATTATAAAATTCGATCCTTAGTCTTTGGACTTGTAGAATGAGGAAAGTTGTTAGAGAGTAATTATTAGATTTCCCTCCAAAATTCCATATTGCAAAAAGATTCACTTTTGCAATATGCCATATATTAAAGACAGTACCACTATTGTAAAAGTGATTTGTTTTCCAGTGTTGCTGAATTTCCGTGATCTGTTAGATGGCTGACAGACTGCAGTATGGTGTATTGTGAGGCAGAGAGTAGTTAACCAAGTTACTTTGTCTTTAACAGCTTTTTAAAAAATTATTATTATTGGAGTGAAATTCACATCACATCAAATTACCAGTTTTAAAGGAAACAAATCAGTGGCTTTTAGTACATTTATAATGTTGTGTAACCACCACCTCTGTCTAGTTCCAAAGAATTTTCATTTCCCCAAAATAAAATCCCACACCCATTAAGCAGTTACTCCCCGTTCCTTCACCAGCCCTCAACAATTTCGTATAAGACAAATTAAAGTATTTACACACAGAAAATCATGCATTCAGAAACATCAACTTAATGTTATCAAGTGCTATAAGTTGAATATCTTATAAGTATGAATAGAAATGTGTTTTTTAGGAATTGGAAAACGTCCTGTTAATGTATATCTTTCCAATCTAGGGAACATTTGGACTTGAGAGTTTTTAGAGAGAGCATCTAAGCTGTGTTTTGATGTATTCTAAGAAATGCCTTGTGTGTTTTTAACCTGAAATAAGAAATAAAGCATTTGACTAGATAGAGGATCAAATCAGACTCATACCCTGTTGTGGTATGGAATCACATAACAAATGTCATATAATATCTTTTGTTAATGGAACAAGTGCTTCTCTAAAGTTGCTCCAATCATGGGAAATAAGAGTTTACTTGTGAGACACACACTCAGATTAAGGCAGTAAATGTTGATGTTTGTTATTCATTTGTAATCTATTTGTAATTCTCATTTTCTCTCTCTCGCTCGCTCTCACTCTGGTTCTTCTATTCTTGTATTATGGACCTTAATTCCATCTCTTCTAGAGTCTTATTTAGTGCTACTCAAATCTAATCCAACTGCTAGTAGACTCATTAAGAGTCAGCATCCACTCACCACTACACCAAACACTGCTATGATTTCGCCTTTTTTTAAAATTGTAGGCACCTGAAGATTTCACCCTTGCTTTTAAACTTTTAACCATTTAAAACAAAAAACAAACAAATGTGTGTGGAAGCCTATTTTATCTAGCAAATAGTGAATTGAAAGGGGGTCCTTTTTATTATTTGCTCAATCTACTATATTGATCAGAAATTCTCCAAATCATGCTCTGGCCGGGTGGCTTGGTGGTTGGAGCATTGTCCCATATATCAAAAGGTTGTGGGTTCAATGCCCGGTCAGGGCATGTACCGAGGTTGGAGGTTCTGTTCTCCTTTGGGGCATGTATGAGAAGTGACTAATCGACATTTCTCTTTCACGTTGATGAGGTTTTTTTTTTCTCTCTCCCTACCTTCCTCTCTTTCTCTAAAATCAATAAAAACGTATCCTTGGGTGAGGATTTTTTAAAAAGAAAGAAATTCTCCAAAGAAAATTTGATCCAAATTCTGTCAGTCTCCCAACTTTCACTGTCTGGTACCAACGAGTTTCAAATAAAAATTTGGATAAATCTTTTGCCATTCAAATTCTTAGTTTGCCAAACAAAATTCAAATCAAACCTATTTGGAAACATAGTACCTCTTACTGTCTGATTCCTTGTTGGATGTGGATAGCAAGGCGTACCTGTAATTCTTCAGTCAGCTGGAATGACTGTTTTAAAAGGCAAACTTGATTGATGTCCCTTCCGTGCTTAAGTTTTTCAGTGGTTTCCGATTGCATTTAAAATAGAATTCAACTTCTTAACATGCCCTGCAACACTGCATGATCTGGCCTCTGTCAGCTTCTCCAGCTGGCTTAATTGTATGATCTCCTCATTCTTCCCACATTCTTGCTAAGTTCCTTACTAAGGACTCCTATTGCCTTTCCCTTTGCCCAGAAAGTACCAGCCATCCCCTCTCCTCCCACCAATCTCCCATCTGGCTAATCCTATAATTATCTTTAAGTAATAGCCTAACTGTCAATTTTTCAGAGAAGCCTCTAACCACTTGTCCTACATGATTATCTCTATTATTAATGCTAACATATCTAGTTTTTGTAATTTTATTTATTTTTACCTGTTATTTTCACTATCAAGTGACTGAAAGATCTGTATATTGGTAGTAGATCCTCAAAGATATTCTAGAATCCATTTCCAAGTCTCAAAATTCTGTTTTCAATTATTAATAATTCCTGTGCTTATTGTTTTTCTTTTTGTTGTTGACTTAATTTTTTGAAGTAAAATGTATTACTTGAGTATGTTGGAGTAGAAAATATCCTTTTGGGTTCTTTTATTCTCTCTCTCTCTCTCTCTCTCTCTCTCTCTCTCTCTCCCTCCCTCCCTCCCTCCCTCCCTCCCTCCCTCCCTCCCTCCTTCTTTTTTTTTTTTTTAATCCCCACCTGAGGATATTTTCCCATTGATTTTTAGAGACAATGGAAGAGAGAGGGAAAGACAGAGATAATATCGATGTGAGAGAAACACATCAATTAGTTGCCTCCTGCATGTGCCCCAACCAGGGCCCGGACCGGGGAGGAGCCTGCAACCGAGGTACAGGCCCTTGACAAGAATCAAATCGGGGACCCTTGGTTCTACAGGACAACACTGAGCTAAGCAGGCTAGGGCTAGAAAATATTCTTGGGGTTTATTTGGTAGCGTAAAAATATCCTGTGTTAATTCATACCTTATTTAACTTTCTGCTACTCTGAACAATGTTCCTGTGTCTTCTGAATTAATGTCAAAACCTCTTGCCACATCTCTTCTCTAAAAGCCACTGTCAAAGTTAACTGCACAAATATAGCTCTTCCTGTTATTTCCTTTACTTAAAAACCTTTGACTGCCTTCCAAGAAAGAGGATAAAGTCAATATAAGGAGGTAACAAAACAAATATCAAACCTAAGGGATAGATCCAACTTCATGCCACAGTTTGAAAAACCCAAGCTCAGGAAGTTCCTTCTAGAAATTGAGTCATTCTTTTGACCTCTCTAATCTGTTCTAGCACATGGGTAAAGAAGGAAAATTTCTCAAGACTTTTTATAAAATCAGTGTAATATTGATACCAGAAGATGATCAAACTGGCTAAAAAAAGTCGCTATAGTTTAATTCACGTATGATGACTACAGATGCAAAAATCTTCAGAACCCAGAATAAGCAAAACCCAACAATACTTTTCTTTAAGTACCCCTCACCAATTTAGTAATTGGTCCTTTTAATTTAAGTAGTAAAAAAGCTTATTAATAGAATTCATCTTCTTTTAATAGATCCCGGGAAACAATGTAATATGATTCTCTCAAAAGATGCCAAAGGACATTTGATTAAATTTTATTTCCATTACTTTGAAGAATGCTTATAAGATTACATATGTCCTTGTTCTGGAAAAAAATGTATATGTTTATCTATCGTCATATCATGGGCAGGCATTCTTCTTATTGTCAAGTTCAAGAAAGAGTTTTTCTTATCACTTCTATGTGTTATTATTTTGGAAGTGTTTACCAATATAATTAAAGTAGAAAATAATAGAATTGCTAAGGGTTCTAGAGTACTAATCATACAGTTTATTAGTTTAGTTAAGCTTCTCTGTTCAGTATCTTTTATCACACCACCACCACCACCATGTCGGACTAGATTTCCTGGCACCTTTTCTTTCAAAGCCGTGTGTTTTAAACATGGACGGTATATACATTCTCTCTAAAGGGAAAAAGAAAATGTATAGCGCCACTTGTTATTTTTATTATAATTAAATTTAATATATTTAAGTATAATCACCTTATAGTCCTTATATAATATAAGAATTTACAAGTTAAATAGAAGCAAGACCACATAACAAACTAAAAATTAGCTTCAGTGTGATGGGTGATATTTTGCTAGTATTAGATTGCTGTGAGACTAATTCAATATTTAATCTAATTTTATATTTTTACTTCAGTAACACTAGTGCAGAGAATGCTTGTTTGATGAATATCTTGTATAAAAGAACAGCACTTCAAAGCAATGTTTGCTAGTGCAGAGTAATCAGTCTTCATACATACATAATTGAAACTTGTATTAGCAGGTAAAACCCAAATGCCAGTTATGTAATCTTATCCATATTATTGGAATTGGCAACAGAAAAATTATTGTTGGAATTAGCAGCAGAAAATTTTTAATTATGTATTTAAGTTAAATTATAATGAACTATTACAAGTTATACAGCCAGATAAGCAGGATGTATATAATATATTGGCTTGCAGCGTGGACGTGATGCTGGTAAACGGAGCTCTCATTCTTTAAAGTTTTGCATGTCTTTCTGTATTAGGTGCCCTGGGATGATTCATTTTTCATTCCACTCTTCCTTTTCAGAATTAACACAAACCATGAGATATACCTTTACTTATTTGATCTTCATTTGATAGTAATGCAGTTATAAACCCAGTTTGAAAAGCTTGGGAATTGGGAATAAAAATTAAGGAGGTTAGTTACTCTATGGTACAAACCCTCAGCACCTTGAATGTGCTAATGCATGTTGTGATTCTGCAGGAGATGAATATACAGTATGCCTGGTCTCAGGAGCTTGCTGTAGTTTGTTAGTGACCATTCTAAGGCAATCAGTCACATACTTTCATTTGCTATAAAGTGTCTTCTCTCTAAATTTCTTGTCTTTAAAGCATTTGTTTTTCCACTTTCTGATTTTGTCCTCCCTTTGTTTGTAAGTGGTCTCTGTCTCTTTTTTTAAGGTACTTACTGTCAACAGCGGGAAGTAGAGGCTATAACTGAAGGTGTGGAAGAAGACGAAGGGTTTTGCTGTTGTGAACCCGGCCATGTTCCTCACGTGCTGTCATTCAATGCTGCATTTGGCCAGCGCTGGCTGGCTTGGGAAGTCATAGTCACCAAGTACATTCTGGAAGGTTATAGCATCACTGACAACAGTGCTGCTTCTATGCTTCAAGTCTTTGATCTTCGAAAAGTACTCACCACTTACTATGTCAAGGTAGGGTATGCATTTACTTAGCTGTTCTCAAAACTGAAGACTCTTCTTGAAAAAGATATCTCTCTCTATCTATCTATCTATCTATCTATCTATCTATCTATCTATCTATCTATCTATCCTGGTAGCCCTTGCACGAATCTGTGTGCCAGAAGCTTGCTGCCGCCCTCCTGTAGCTTTCCACCTGCTGCCCCGTTTCCTGTAGCCCCCGCCTCCCATCCCCCTCTCATAGCTTGCTGCCCTGCCCCCTCCTGTAGCTCTCTGCCTCCCACTTGCTTGCTGCCCTGCCCCTTATGTAGTTCTCCTGTAGCTTTCCCCGTCCCTTCCCCTCCCTTCCCCCATAGCTTGCTGCCTTGCCCCCTCCTGTAGCTCTCTGCTGCCTACTTATAGCTCACGGCTTCCCTCCCCTGCCCCCCCCACTGATTTGTGATCCATTCGTTATAAGGTCAGTCGTTACTCCTCAAGGCATAATGGATAATTGGCATATTCCTCTCTTATTATATATATATCACACACACACACACACACACACACACACACACACACACACATATATATATATCCTATATAATAAAGAGGCAATATTCAAATTGACTCTCACGTCCTCACACAAGATGGCCACCACAAAATGGCTGGCATGAGAGGGAAGTTGGGGGCTACTGGGCCTGCAGGGGAGGGAGGAAAGTTGGGGAGAACTAGGCCTGCAGGGGAGGGCAGTTGGGGGGGACCAGGCCTTCATGAAAGGGAAGTTGGGGTGACCAGGTGGGCAGGGGAGGGCAGTTGGGGGCTATCAGGCCAGCAGAGGAGCAATTAGGTATCGATCAGGCTGGCAGGGGAATAGTTAAGTGGTGACCAGGCTGGCAGGCAGGCAAGTGGTTGGGAGCCATTAGTCACAGATTGTGAGAGTAATGTCCCAGATTAGAGAAGGTGCAGGCTGGGCTGAAGGACCTCCTGCCCCCAGTGCATGAATTTTGTACACCAGGCCTCTAGTATATATATAATTTTTTAAACTTGTGCTTTGCTTCTATGTTGTGATTTCAATTCTCTAGTATCCTGTATAGTTACTAAATTATACCTGTGAAGGTTTCCTCTGTTTTTTTTTCTTTAGTGAAACTTATTCATTGTTCATTAATATTAGTAGCTACCACTTGTAGCTCATATGTTCTAGGCACTGTGCTGAGGAATATACATGTATCTTTCAATTAGGTAAGATACATGTATATATATGCATACATGTATCTTACCTAATTCTCTAACGTAATGTTATGTCCTTGTTTTACAAATAAACAAATTAATAATTAGAAATTTACTTGCCCAAAGACCTCTAACTAGCAAGTAAAGTTAGGAGTTTAAAATCCAGGCTTGTCTGACTCCTAAGCCCTTGCAACTAACCACTGCTTTGCACTACTTTCAACAAGCTGAATAAAACTAATTACAAGATTTGAGTGGTCACCAGGATCACCTTCAGGTTCAATAGTTTGCTGTAAGGACTCACAGAACTCAGCAGAGTCATTATACTCACAGGTAGGATTTATTAAGGTGGAAGGATACAGATTAAGATCACCCAAGTAGGCACATAGGTTAGAGTCCAGAGATACCAAGGCATTAGTTGCCAGTTGTCCTTTTCCAGTGGAATTGCACCAACAATGCCTGGTTCTCCTGCCAACGATGTGTGATTAATACAGAGTGTTGTCAATCAGGGAAGCTCACCTGGGTCTCAAGCTGGAGAGTTATTTTTGGAGTGAAGTCACTTAAATGGGATTGGGCACCCACATGGCCAACCATAGTCTCCAACCCCTCTGGAGGTCAAAGCTCTAAGCCTCCAGGTGAACAAAAACTTTTAGAGCTTACCTGCCAGGACCCAAGTGCAAAGCCCAAAACTCTTTGGGCAGGGTTGGTTTTGTTTGTTTGTTTTTGTTTTGTTTTCTAAAGATCTTGCAGAAGTACAGCCTGGTTATGATTTGGGAGCTGGCAGGCAAAGCATATATTTTCAGGAGGAAAATATGTGCTAAGTTTTAATGACCCTTATTTGAATTTTTCATATTTTGTGGTGTTGCCTATATATAACACCTTATTTGTGCTGACCCGGGTAAACCTTGAATCTTCTATTTAATGTTTTATTAAACACAACATCAGGAAGATAAATAAAATGATTTTACAAATTTTAAACATGTGTGTTTGGCTTTTTCTGTCTTAAATATGTGTATTTCTATTGCTTTATCAGCTGTAATAATAAAAGCATAATATGCTAATTAGACCCGACAGCCAAACCACCTTGAGGCAGGGAGGGCCGAGCCTCTTGCACAAATTTATTGCATCGGGCCTCTAGTTAGATGTATTTCTGTAACTTCAGCTATGATCACAGCATCATTTAATAGTTTTCTATGATAAAGTCTTTCAAAAGAAATGCACCACAATAAATGATTCTAAATTCAAAAGCCCTAAAATCAGTAGAGTAGAGTTGTTTTTGAAGTTGCCTTGCTGAATTTGTGGGTTGTAATTTTTAAATTATTAAATTAAATGTTTTTTTTTTTTCATCCAGGAAGGGCTGAGATACATATATTATAGCATTCCTAAGTTATATTTTTATAATATTGAGCCAGAATAATATATTTTTGATTTCTACTATCAGTATAAACAGTTGGAATTTATTTACTGAAAATGGAAATTAATTCAATTTGTGATTTAGTTCAGATTTTTGCCTTTATCTTTTCCTCATTAGGGAATCATTTATTATGTTACAACCTCTTCTAAGCTGGAGGAGTGGCTAGCTAATGAGACAATGCAGGAGGGACTACGTCTGTACGCCGATAGAAATTATGTGGATGTGGACCCGACATTTAATCCCAACATTGATGAAGACTATGACCATCGACTGGCGGGCATATCCAGGGAGAGTTTCTGTGTGATTTACCTCAATTGGATCGAATATTGCTCTTCCCGAAGAGCAAAGGTAGAGATTATTTCATTTATAACTCTGAATCCATTTTTCTAAAGATGGGGAGACTATCTCTGCTTTTTATTATGAGGTCAATTTTTCCAGACCTTCCTATTTCTGACCTCTCTGGTTCAGTATAGTTGGGCCAAACCAACCAATTCTGCCAAAACAAGTCTGCAGACCAACGCTCTACCACTGAGCCAAACCAGTTTCGGCTCCTTGTGATGAAAACTTTTAAGATCTCTCTTAACAACTTCCAAATATGCAATATGGTATTACTATGTATAGTCACTACATTAAATCCCCATGACTTATTTATTTTGTAACTAGAAATTTGTACCTTTTGACCTCCTTCACCCTGTCTTTTGTTTCTTTTCTGTTGTTGTTTGTTTGTTTTCCTAAGCCACTGGATGTGGACAAAGATTCCTCTCTGGTGACTCTTTGTTATGGACTCTGTGTTCTGGGACGAAGAGCTCTGGGGACTGCATCCCACCATATGTCCAGGTAACGGCACTTCTGTTTTTAGGAAGGGATTGTGGGAAGCTGTCAGATCTAAGTCTGGAATCATCTTTCATGGAAGCATACTATGCTAATTTATTGCAAAAGACTCTTCAGATGTTGTATAGATCTTTTTGCTGAACATAGTTGAGTTCTAAGTGGTTAACAGAACTGGCTTTTAAAATTGGCATATATGTAGGTAGTTATTGATAGTGAGAATTTAATAGATTTGAGACATTTAAAAAATAACCCCATAACATCTCTTTTCTAACAATTTACCTTTTTAAAAAAATTTTTTCATTCTTCATTGCAATTTCTGCCAGAGCATTTATACTTTGAATATACACCAAGTGGCCAGATTATTATGATCTCTGAGTGCATCATAATCTGGCCCCTAAGTGTATATCCTATATAATAAAAGGCTAATATGCAAATTGTCCCCTCAACCGGGAGTTCCACCAGCAGGCAGGCCAGCCAACTGCCTATGTCCCCTCCCACTGGCCAAGCTGGCCGGACCCCACCCATGCACAAATTCATGCACCAGGCCTCTAATATATATACTGAGTGGCCAGATTATTATGCGTTCAGAGATCATAATTATCTTGCCACTCAGTGTAGTTGTACATTAGATTTTGGAACTCTAAATATAAACTGGGTTTCTTGACGTATGCATCCAAATGAATTAGAATTAAGAAGTGCCATATATTTTAATTTTCATCTTTTCCATTAGCCCCTCCTTAATATCTTTTAACGTACATACTCTTTGCCTGTTGTTTATTTTCATGAACTCTATTTTCATAGTGGTTCATAAACAGTGACAGGTCAAAAGGCCCTATTCCTTGTAATTCTGATTTAGGGGTGCTGACATTAGTTCTTAAAATCTCTATTTTTAAAACAATCTCACATGATTGTGATGCACAGCCAGATGTAAGAATCAATGTAATGTAAGACCGTTGTCAAAATATGTGAATGTTTTATCTCCAATCCTAACAGTAATTTAGAGTCATTCCTCTATGGATTGCATGCCCTGTTTAAGGGAGATTTCCGTATTTCTTCAATTCGAGATGAATGGATCTTTGCTGACATGGAGTTACTAAGAAAAGTAGTAGTCCCTGGAATCCGTATGTCCATTAAACTTCATCAGGTAAGAAGAGAACATTTCTAACCCATTGCTATTAGTTAATGGTGATTCTTTTGACTTCCAAATTGTTTCTTAGGTACCTTTTGAGAAATATTCTGATTTGAAACAAAGAAAAACATGATTCAGGGCAAGATTCTATATCTTAGAATCCCGAACCTATATTTAATTTTTCTTTCTTTTCTTCTTTTTTAAATTCTTTTATTGATTTCAGAGATGAAGGAAGGAAGAGAAAGAGATAGATAGATCCATGATGAGAGAGAATCATGGATTGGCTGCCTCCTGCAAGTCCTGCACTGGGGATTGAACTCACACTCCGGGCATGTGCCCTTGACCGGAATCAAACCTGGGACCTTTCAGTTTGAAGTCCGATGCTCTATCCACTGAGCCAAACTGGCTAGGGCCCAAACCTATGTTTCTACCAGTAAATTAGAATATTAATATCTGGGCATGAGCCTGAGGACAAGTGTAAGCAGTGAGTGACAAACTGGAAACAAGCCTTTGGCCTGTGATGCTTGCTTTGACATCATGTGGTTGTAATGCACACCTCTTCCGTGTGAATGTTTGGTGACAGGGCAGTGCAGCAGCATCTCAGGAGTCTCCTCAGTGCTGCTGTTACCGAGAGTTTCACTTCGCATGTTATGTAGAATAACAGATGGTTAGGTAAGATTTAGCACTAGTTTAATCCTAGGAAGGTAAAAAATTTAAAATGAGGCCTCACAATGCATATTGTCCTGGATCACTTTAAGATTATATTTTGAGCCCTAATCGGTTTGGCTCAGTGGATAGAGCACGGGCCTGTAGACTGAAGGGTTCCAGGTTCAATTCTGATCAAGAGCATGTACCTTGGTTGCAGGCACATCCCCAGTAGGGGGTGTGTGGGAGGCAGCTGATTGATATTTCTAACTCTCTATCTCTCTCCCATCCTTTCTGTAAAAATCAATAAAATATATTTTAAAAAAGAATATACTTTGAAATTAAGTACAATAAGGCCTCACTTAATTTTGTCAATAGATTCTTGGAAACGGCAACATTAAGTGAAATGAAATGATGAAACCAGTTTTCCCAGAGGCTAATTGTTATAAACAATTGTTCCTATGGCATATTTCTAGTCACCAAAACATCAGCAAACATCTAAATAAAGATTCAAAACACTTCTTCTATTAAACATTTGAGTAAATGTGAACTATTACATATCTATAATAGTAAAAGCATAATAAGCTAATTAGACTGGCCATCCTTCCGGACATACTTCCAGACAAAGCTGGGGCTGCAAGGGAAGCCCAGGGCCTGGGCGACAGGAGGAAGCCAGTGCCGGCAGCCAGGGCAAGGAAGGCCTACTCTTGCATGAATTTCGTGCATAAGGCCTCTAGTATTTAAGAAAGATGAACAAAAACAAGTAAGGTAGTTATTTTCCAGCCTGATTATTATAGTTCAGGGTTGCAGGTGACTGGAACCTCTCCCAGCAGCCCAGGGGGCAAGGCAGACACCCACTCAGGACATTAAATTACAGTGCCCATGCGCAGCCACACCTGTGACAACTCAGATGGGGACAATGGAGACATGCCACTTCACCTCACATGCACAGCTTTAGGAAGTGGGAGGAAACTGGAGTACCTGGAGAAAAACCACACAGATGTGGGGAGGATGTGCACACTCTACAGGCAGCAGGCCTGGCTGGGATCATCCTATAAAAGAGCAATATGCAAATTAACCATCACTCTGTCACAATGATGGTGGCACCCATAGCCACAAGTCCCCTTAGCCCCACCGGCATCCCCCAGTCCTGGTGGGGGGTGGCTGCTGAGAGCAGGCAGCGTGAGTGGAGAGTCTCTGGGCTACGGAGAGCCTCTGGGCAGCGGCCAGGCCCCGCAGAGAGCAGAGAACCACGGGGAGTGGTCCTAAGCTGTCAGGGTTCCCAGATTGGAGAGGGTGCAGGTTGGGCTGAGGGACCCAGTCCCCATGCACGAATTTTGTGCACTGGGCCCCTAGTCAACATTATAATGAAATGCCACCATTCAAGGTCTTTCTGTACTGGCACTTGCTGCTCTGTTCATTTCACTTGACAGAGTCATCAGATGATAGATAGAGACCACATGATAATACTCATTAAAATGCATCTGCTGTGCTCATATCTGATTATTTTCCCCCCAAAATAAAAGGTGAATAACTCTTCAAGTGATTTTTACTGTGATCTAAAGTACTGAAATGAAGTTGATGTCCCCTGTTATTTAGGAGCATTTCTAATAAGGGAAATATTATTTGAAAATATCTGAAAAATGGAATCCTATTTTGAGGATGATGGGGAAAATATATATTTGGGAATCAAATAGAGTATCCATCTTCAGACTAGCTTTAGAGTTTGAGATAAAATTAAATGTATGTAAAAGAAAAAGGTAATAACTATAACTTAAATTTTTTATTCATTTAGTTTTTGTCCATCTGGTATTTCTCCTTTTGTCTTGTGATGTCCTATGAATTGCCTAAGCCTGTAAGAAATTTTTACCGAAGTCCTAACTGGTTTGGCCTAGTGGATAAGGCGTTGGCCTGCGGACTGAAAAGGGTCCCAGGTTTGATTCTGGTCAAGGGCATGTACCTTGGTTGCAGGCACATCCCCAGTAGGAGGTGTGCAGGAGGCAGCTGATCGATGTTTCTCACCTATGTTTTTAACTCTTTATCCCTTTCCTTCCTCTCTATAAAAAATCAATAAAATATATTTTTAAAATAAATTTTTACTTTATAACATTTTATTTGAGCCAAACTGACTATAATGCTGGGAAGCAAGATTTCAAATGCGCCCTAAAATGTTTTTCAAATCAGGTTTCTCAAAAGGTACCAGTTAAATATCTCTATGTAAGAATTACCTCTTTTGCCGAAACCGGTTTAGCTCAGTGGAAAGAGCGTTGGTCTGTGGACTGGAAGGTCCCAGGTTCGATTCCAGTCAAGGGCATGTACATTGGTTGCGGGCACTTCCCCAGTGTTTGGGTGTGCAAAAAGCAGCTGGTCAATGTTCTTCTCTCATCAATGTTTCTAGCTCTCTATCCCTCTCCCTTTCTCTCTGTAAAAAATTAATAATATATATATATATATATTTTTTTTTTTTTTTTTTTTAAAGAAACACCTCTTTTACATAGCATAATTATTTCACAGTTCCTAACAGGCATTTTTAGTTCATCCTAAACATTATGACAGAGAAGACACCGAGGGACAGGGTCCAAAGTCTCTGATGCCTTGGTCACTGCCTCTAGCCTCACGCTATTCATGCTCTTGCCTGTTGCTTCGGGGTCTTTTCTCTCCATGTTCCTCTGGCTAAAGCACTATTGCCTGTAACAGTGCTTCTCTGCCCTATGATCAGGCCGACACTTGGAAACAGCACCTTCTCGCCATTAGCATGACTGACAACAAGCAGTGACAACCAGGGAGGGTGAGGCAGGGGAACCGGCCAGGAGCCATGAGGGCTGAGGAGGCAATAGAGAACGCAGGTGCAACCTGGACGAGTTTTGTAATCCCTGTGCACCTTCAAGGAACATAGAGATCGACCTGTGAAGTAACAAATAACACCCATTCATTGACCAACACTTTTAGTCACATGTTGGATTGTCCATGAGGGATTATTGAGCAGGAAAAGATAAATATGTAAATCAATACTGTCATCCCCAAAGTTCATATGTTATATACTCACGAAAATCCACAAAAATGGACAATAGGTTTATTTATTAAAAGAAAGGATTAGTACCGGTACATACTTGCCATATGACCCAGCAATTTTACTCCTAGTTATGGGTATCTACTTTTATTTTCTTGGTTAGTTATTTACCCAAGAAAATAAAAGTAGATACCCACACAAACCAAATGTGCATAGCAGCTTTACGCATAATACCCCCGAACTGGAAACAACTCAAATGTCAATCAGTGGATGAACATACAAATTATGGGATTGCCACACGATAGAATAAGTTTACTAAACACTACAAAGACATGAACTATTGTGAGTCACCTCAGCCTGAATGAGAGCATAATGCAGAGCAGGAGAAGTCAGACATATGAAGAGCCCATATTGTATGATTTTACTTACATAAAATTAAAGCAGGCGAAATGAATCTATAGGTTTAGAAAGCAGATCAGTGGTTGCTTGGGATATAGAGACTGAATGCCAAAAGGCAGGAAGGAGCCTTTGGGGTGATGGAAATGTTCTACATCTAGACGTGGCAGTGGTTTCATGGGTGTGCATATTTGTCAAAGGGCAGCTAACTACCTTCAGAGTGGGGGCACTTATTGTATGTAAATCATACCCCAAACTCAACTTAAAAACTATTATGTTCCCAGAGAGCTTAAAATATAGCTCATTACTGCAATACTACTTTTGTAAATTCCTCAATGCAACCCTATCCTCTAAATTTTAGCTAAACAAATATTTTTATATATTTTCTTTGTTTTCCTCAGTCAAGTTGATTTTTTCATATATATATATATATATATATATATATATATATATATATATATATATATATATATATATATATATACTGAAGGCCTGGTGTATGAAATTCGTGCATGGGGGCGGGGGAGGGTGTCCCTCAGCCCAGCCTGCACCCTCTCCAATCTGGGATCCCTTGAGGGATGTCCGACTGCCCTCTCACAATCCAGGACTGCTGGCTCCCAACTACTCGCCTGCCTAATTGCCCCCTACAGCTTATGCCTGCCAGCCTGGTCATCCTCTAACCACTCCCCTGCCATCCTGTTTGATGCCTAACTGCTCCCCTGCCAAGCTGATTGCCCCTAACTGCCCTCCCCTGCAGGCCTGGTTCCCCCTAGCTGCCCTCCCTTGCAGGCCTGATTGCTCCCAACTGTCCTCCCTTACAGGCATGGTCCCTTCTAACTGCCCTACCCTGCTGGCCATCTTGTGGTGGCCATCTTGTGTCTATATGGGGGTGTCCATCTTTGACCACATCTTGTGTGTTGGAGTGATGGTCAAATTGCATATTACCTCTTTATTATATAGGAGATATGCATATATTTATATGTATATCTGTTAAAGGATTATCTGTTAGCTATCAAAAACTAAAACTACATTAAAAAATCTCTAAAATTGTGTTTCTTACTAACCAGGCACTTTTCACATAAAGCCATGTCTCTAGAATGATTCTAAAACCCATGTTATCCTGCCTCTCACTAGTTGAGATATGGCTCATAGTTGTGAGCTTTAAGACAAATGAAAGCTCCTAATCCTAGAGAAACTAGTGGAATCTTCCCTGAACAACCTCTTCATCTTAATAACCATTCATTTGATAAATAGCCATTTAATATTACCATATGCAAGATTCCATTGCAGTTTGTAAGGATGAAACAAAGAAGTATATGAAATGTATCTCCCATTCAGAAACCTATAAATAAACAGAAGATGCAGGACAGGTACCCAACTAACCATAACGCAAATCTGAATTTCTGAAATGGTGTGCTATTAAGGAAGCACAAATAAAAATTGGCTGCCTTCACATTTGTAACTGAGAGGTTAATAAATTTTCACTCACGTGTGTGCTGTTTGAAGGGGAAGTGAGGGGGAGCAAGACTGCAGTATCCCCAAGATGCACATCCAAGTTTGAGGGCTAGCCTACATGGAATAATAAAAGCATTCACTGTGTATATGAATAATTCTTCATAATGTAATAAGTTCTCCAATACACTATTTCATCGCACTCTTACAAAAGCCTTGCCAAATTTGTTTGCAGATAATGCTTGTACTCACAAATGTAAAACGGGGGCTCAAAGAGGTTTAGCTGCTTCCTAGGTTTAGCTGGTAATACCGGGACTTAAACACATTTTTTTAAAGAGTATTTCTCATATATATATTTATGTATTATAATAATAATGTGTGCTGATATGAAATTTTCATTTAGTAATTGATTTAGTAACTATAGAAGTTTTTATCATCCTGGAAGTCATTCTCTTCTTTTTCTAAAAATTTTTTATTCTTGTGTATAGGATCATTTCACTTCTTCAGATGAATATGATGACCCCACTGTGCTCTATGAAGCCATTGTATCTCATGAAAAAAACCTCGTAATAGCCCACGAAGGCGACCCTGCTTGGCGGAGTGCAGTCCTAGCCAACTCTCCCTCCTTGCTTGCCCTGCGGCATGTCATGGATGATGGCACCAACGAGTATAAAGTCATCATGCTCAACAGACGTTACCTGAGCTTCAGGGTCATTAAAGTAAGTTTTCCAGGCATTAATTTGCATCTGAGAAAATTGCAACTTAGATAACCATATCCAAACTTTTAAAAAGTAGTTGAAACTCGTGGAGAAAAAAAAATGATGACCATATTTCATTAGCATTTATTGTTTATAAGCACTTAATTTTATTTTGTCAATAATTTAGTCTGTTCTCCGACATTTTTTCACATGCTATAAAGCCTTAACATTTTTTGCTTATTTCTATTTTGGTAGTTTTAAAATCTATTTCATTTGCTATTTGGGTAGAATCTCTTAAACATCAGCTCTGTATTGCTAATATGATGGGATTCCTAGGTTGCAAAATACTTCTGTAGCTTATACTGGCCAGTCAGTGCTTCACTTTAACATTTCCTTAGGCTTTGTTTTTTTGTTGTTGTTGTTAAACGTCTTAGGACTTTAAGAGGCTTAATCTCTGAAATTTTATTTTGATAATTTATAAAGGTTATTTTTTCCCCCACTAATTCATTTAATCAAGCCCCAAAGTCACAAACATCCTTTAAACTAAAAATATTATTACTTCTGATTCTATAAAAAATATCTCATTTTCAAAATTCAGTGCTCCACTGATTTGGAAAATGAAATGGACTACATTTTACTTGGTATTTTTATAAGACAGAGCAGAAGTCCTCTGTGCTTACTGTTTAACATCCTGTGCATGTCAATGGAAAACGGTTAACTCCTGTGTAGACGTGACCTATTCGTTTCCTGCCTTTTACAGTTGGTCATCATGCCTTTTGTATCCCTCCCATTTCTGCGCTTCTGTTTGTATGAATTTCATTCTTAGCCCCATGATCTAATCCCCATGTGATCTGGTTTTCAGGTGAATAAGGAATGTGTCCGAGGTCTTTGGGCGGGGCAACAGCAGGAGCTTGTATTTCTACGGAACCGTAACCCCGAGAGAGGCAGCATCCAAAATGCAAAGCAGGCTCTGAGAAACATGATAAACTCATCTTGTGACCAACCTATTGGCTACCCGATCTTTGTCTCACCCCTGACAACTTCTTACTCTGACAGCCATGAACAGCTTAAAGGAATTCTTGGGGGACCTATCAGTTTGGGAAACATCAGAAACTTCATAGTGTCAACCTGGCACAGGTGAGCCACTGGGTGGTGGTGTGTCCTGACCTTCGAGCTAGACAGTGTGCATTAGTGTCACCTGGAAAGTTTGTAGGGGAAATCCAGGTGTCACAGCACAATATAAACCTATTTGAACTTCAGGAAGCAGAGACTGAGCATATACTATATATCTTTAGACTCTTATTAGGTAAATCTAATGTGCAGCTCTGGTGAAAAACCACTGCTATAGCATTTAGTTCAGTTTTGAATAGTTTCCTTTGTTTAATGTTTTTGCCCTGTTTACAGGATATCGCTGCCATTAGAACTTGTGGGTCAGTAAACAGGATAAATTACAGAAAAGCATGAGGAACTTGTGCACATCGATTGCTCTCTTCCATCTGCTGTATTCCGTTCCAGCAGTAGGGGGAGCACAGTGCATGTGAAACTCCTGGTTTTACAGTGCAGTGATATTATACTATGCTATTTTCCCAATCCAGTCATCACTCCAAGCTCAAATGTGTAGGCTATCTTCAGGAATCCACATGATGTATTTCTCTGCATTTTGTCCTGTAAATTGTGGAGTATGGTGTAGGAACATCTATTTTGATGACAAGTGAAGGAAAAAAAAATCATAGAATATTATTTTCAATTTCTTAAGAGTTCATATCCTTAAATCAGAGCTTACGAAATATAAGATCTGGAATTAGAGCAATAAATTTTCTATTAGGTGTTTTTAAATTCTTCTAGAAGTACCAACATTAAAGAGTAATGTTTTATCATTTTAAAACAGTCCCTGTCCACGCAGAAAGAAGAACACAAACCGGGGTAGTGTCAAAGAAATACTTATTTTTTCCCCAAAAAATACATGTTGTGCTGGAATTGCCTTGTTTGTCCAGGACTGAGGGTTTTCCCAGGATGCAGGATTTTCAGCGCTTAAACCAAGACAGTTGTGGTCAAACCAGTACAGTTGGTCCATGTTACACATAAAAAATAAACAAATGAAAGGAGGAATCATCACAGCAGCTCCCTTCAGGTGCACTGCAGCATAAGTTAGGTTTCACTTGATCACATAAGGTTTCAGGTGTTGCAGACTTAGAGGCACTGAGTAGACACTGGCAAGAATTCCATTTGCAGTTGTGATCTTAACGGCACAACTATTATGTGCAGTTCTTCCTGTAGTGTAGGATGATAGAGTGTAGAACGCTCAACTAATTGGGAAGTATCGAGGCAGTGAATATAAGAGAATATGAAAACAGACTTTTTGTCCCTAATATTGATTACACCTTAAAGACTTTCAAAGGTGACCATTAGTAGCCTTAAGCATTCAGAATAGCTAAGAAAGAATAAAGTACCTCCCTAGAAGTGATCTTGGGGTAATGCTTCCTGCTCTGGTGTTTGTTCCTAGATTGAGGAAAGGTTGTGGGGCTGGATGTAACAGTGGTGGCAATATTGAAGATTCCGATACTGGAGGGGGAACTTCATGCATCAGCAACAATGCAACAATTGCCAACGACCCCCACAGCACCGTGTCCCAAGGAAGCATCGGAAACACAGGCCGGGGATCTGGAGCAGGTCTCCACCCACCTGTCACGGCTCATCCTCCAACACTCGGTAATGTGCAACAAAATTACTGAGAAATGTTAACCTCTTAGTTGTGAGCAATGTTAACCTCTTAGTTGTGGGCCTCAGTTACTATACAGAGATAAAGAGGAGGACATATTTATCCTTGGAAATATATAAATAGAGCCTTTTATTTGATTCACAGTTGGATCTTATTCTATTTGTTTATAATAATCAGTTTATGTGTATAAATATATATTCTTTGAAATATTTCTTTGAAAGTATCCTTTTTAAAGGCTAGTAATATTGAATTAACATAATTTATTTAACTTCTCTCCTATTGGACAATGATTTGGTTTCTTCTGAATGTTATAATAATCTTTATATAAATCTTTGTAATCACATACTATTTTTGTAGGCTGGAGACTTTAAAAATGGAATCACTAAGTCAAAGTTTATGAGAATATTTAAGACTCACAATATATCATGCTAAAAATCTTTCCAGAAAGGTTTTTGTTTGTTTGTTTTTTACCAATTGTGTATTCTTGCCAGTCATGCATAGCAATGCCCACCTGGTAAACTGTCCACCAGCTCTGAGTGTTACCAGGTCCCACCTCACTCCCTGGGTGCTCAGAGGGACAGGAGAGAGGTGGTCTTTAATTTGCATTGCTCTGATTTCTGAGATTGGAAGCTTTTAAATGAGATTGCCAGCTGTTCCTCTTTCTAAAGTGTCCGTTAAGTGTCTTGCCCATTTTTCTATTCGCTTATCTTTTTTCTCATTTTTATTTGTATATTCTGATTTGAACTCTCGGTCAGTTTTCCATATTACAGATGTCTTTGCCATTGTCTCTTGGCTTTCCATTCCCTTCCTGTGAAGAGTGGCTTGCTGCCTTTTGATGAGATGTTCTTAATTTTAGTGTAGAGCAATTTACTGATCTTTTCTTTTATACTTAGTGCTTTTTGTATCCTATTTAAGAAAAATTATAAATTTTCTACAGGCAGTATAGCTAGTCATTGGAATAGATTGTGAGGGTATTAATACTATACTTTGAGAAATAGTTCCAAATATTTCATTTTTTTGTCATTCTATGAGATTTTGTTTTTTGGTTTTTTTTTAACTGACTTACCTTTTTAAAAAAATATATGTTTATTGATTTCAGAGAGGAAGGAAGAGGGGGAGAGAGATAGAAACATTCATGATGAGAGAGAATCATGGATTGGCTGCCTCCTGCAAGTCCCCCTCTAGGGATTGAGCCTATAACCCGGGCCTGTGCCCTTCACCGGAATTAAACCTAGGATCTTTCAGTTCGTAGGTGGACGCTCTATCCACTGAGCCAAACCGGCTAGGGCTAACTTACCTTTTACATGCGATCTGTAGCCCACCTCATATGCAGCAGGAATCAGATTTCATGTTTCCATATAGCTGGTCGGTGACTCAGCACCGTCCTTTCCCTGCAGCTGCATGGGGAGCAGATTTATCTCAATTTTAAAAAATCCAGTGGCACTGGAATTGTTAAGATTCTGAATAGGTATATAATTAACATTTCATAGGTTGCTTTTTACCTTCTGAGCAAAAGCTGAAAACCATCAATGTGCTTCTTTAAATGTACCTTTCTCTTACATTGGTTACTCTTATTTTCAGATAAAAAGAGCCTATTGCTGTTTTTTTTAATATCATTAATAATTATTATTTTTTAATATGCTTTTTATTGATTTCAAAGAGAGGAAGGGGAAGAGAGAGAGAGCGAGAGCGAGAGCGAGAGAGAGAGAGAGAGAGAGAGAGAGAGAGAAACATGCATCAGTGATGAGGGATGATCATTGATTAGCTGCAGCAACCCAAGCATGTGCCCTGAGTGGGGATCGAAACGTGACCTTTTGGTTCATAGATTAATGCTGAACCATTGAGCCACACTGCTGGGCTATAATTATTTTCTAATAATCTTCACGTCACTATGAGCCAGGAAAAGGACAAATCTGAAGAATTATATTAAATCACTTGAAAAAGAACACAGAAAAACCTATTCAGTATCACTGGTAATTCATAGTTATAAGTAACCCCTTAATATCTGTGAAGACTATAGTGTCATTGATAGGCACTGCAGCTTGTCATTGGAATAGATTGTGAGGGTATTAATACTATCCTTTGAGAAATAGTTGTAGAGCTTGCCACATAATAGGTGCTTACTAATATTTCCATGAGATATCTCATTTCTGATTATTGAAGAAATCTTGTTATTCTAAAACAGCGGTCACCAGCCTTTCGGACCTCATGGACCACCTTTGGTCCGTGGACCATCAGTTGGTGACCAATGTTTTAAAATATATCTGTGAAACTTACAGGATTTATCCCAACTTTAAATCCTGATATTTACTATAAATTATTTGGTCATCTTTCTTTTGCCTCAAAATTTGAATTTTAAAATGCTTCAGTAAATTAATGTTTTAAAAATAATACAAGAAAACAGATCTCAGATATTTATTTCTTTTAAATAGTTTTTTAATTTTTAGGAATAAGTGTTAAAGTCAAGTAATTGCTTAAGGGAGAAAGTGTTAGAGGCTACAAAAAACAAAAACAAGAACTGTTGGACTCATTCCACTTAGAATGTGTTGTTGTGTGTCCCCTAGGCACCAGCCACAGCACTCACTCGGTGCAGTCAGGCCTGGTCAGACAGTCCCCAGCGCGGGCCTCCGTAGCCAGCCAGTCTTCCTACTGCTACAGCAGCCGGCACTCGTCCCTCCGGATGTCCAGCACAGGATTCGTGCCTTGTCGGCGCTCCTCTACCAGTCAGATATCGCTTCGGAACTTACCGTCCTCCATCCAGTCCCGCCTCTCCATGGTGAACCAGACGGAGCCCTCCGGTCAGAGCGGCATGGCCTGTGTGCACCATGGCCTGCCTTCTTCCAGCAGCTCCAGCCAAAGCATCCCGGCCTGCAAGCACCACACTCTCGTGGGCTTTCTTGGGACAGATGGGGGCCAGAGCAGTGCTGCTGATGCACCGCCAGGCAGCACCTTAAGTCCTGCCAATAATGCACACGCCAAAAAGGGGGAGGTGATTTACAGAGTCCAGGCGAGTAAGCCCAGGCTCCTCGTGCACTGTTTCTCCTGCGCACTTCTTTTTATTTTCTGTTTGTTGAGTGAAGGGCTCTGGTGAAAACAATCTCATGTTACTTAGTGTGAAGACTAGAACATTTCTGCTAGTGTGTAACTGAAAGCAAGCAGTTCTTCAGTGGTGATGTGTTCCCGCCCAGCTGCCGTTGTGTGGCCATTGCAGAATGTCTGCCAGGAGGCTGAAAGGAATTTGGGAGGTGGTTCTTTAGATTGTTTTTTATTCCCTTACTAGAGGCCCAGTGTCCAAATTCATGCACCAAGGGGGTCCCTCGGCCTGGCCTGCGGTATCAGGCCAAAACTGGCTCTCCAGCATCCCCTGAGGGATCCCAGATTGTGAGAGAGCACAGGCCAGGCTAAGGACTCCACCCATGCATGATTGGGGCCGGGGAAGGACCGCAGGTGGGCTCCAAGGCATGTCTGGCCGGACTCGCTCAGTCCCGATTGGCCGAACCCAGCAACAAGCTAACCTACCTATCGGAGCATCTGCCCCCTGGTGGTCAATGCATGTCACAGCGATCATGCGGCCTTAGCATATTATTAGCATATTATGCTTTGCGGCCAGACACTTAGCATATTAGGCTTTTAATATATACTTTAGGCAGTAGAGAACTTGAGACACAAAGAGTCCTGTGAAATTTTGTTTGGGATTATATAATTTTTCATCTTCAAGAGAAAAATTAATTGGAAATTATCTATATTTACAATATAGATTGTGGATCCCAGTCAAATTCTGGATGGAATCAACCTGTCCAAAAGGAAAGAGCTGCAGTGGCCTGATGAGGGTATTCGGTTGAAAGCTGGGAGAAACAGCTGGAAAGACTGGACTCCTCAGGAAGGCATGGAAGGCCATGTACGTTTTCCTGTGAAGCTGGCTGCCTGGTCCTCTGACTTCTTTGTAGCCTGGCTGACTTGTATGCATGTTTTCAGTTGACTTATGTCCTTATGTTTAATTATCATAGAATTGCTACCTCTAGTCTTAAGCAAAGGTAAGAGCTCGTGAGCATGTTCAAGGTCTCTGCCACTAACATATTGTTTCATTCTGAACCACTAGGTGATTCACCGATGGGTGCCTTGCAGCAGAGACCCAGGTACTAGGTCCCACATCGACAAGACAGTACTTCTGGTCCAGATTGATGATAAATACGTGACTGTAGTCGAAACTGGGGTACTAGAACTTGGGGCTGAAGTGTGAGCCAGTGTTTTGTAACTACGTTTCTTGCCCCTGTCAATTCTGAGACGTTGGAGAAAGAGAGCGAGAGCAGAGGATGCCTGCAGGGTTCGTTCCATCCCAAAGGAGAGCCTCAACACAGAGACACCGAGTGGGCTTGGCTAAGCACCTCTCCTTCGCCCTTCGCCCTGACTCCTGTCACTGTCTTCATCCCCAAATAAAGCTAAGATATTTTTTTAAGTTAGCTGCTGAGAAAACATTTTGCATGAAGGATCAAGTTCTGTTAAAATATATCCTTTAAAAGTTTTTTCATATTCATTGCCTATGCTTTAAATCAACAAACTCTTGATTTCTAAATTACGCCGATATTATATTTTCTAATTTCTTTGCCAAAAATAATTGCCATGTTTTGTTATAGAACATGAAATCCATTTACTTTGATTTTTAAAAACAGATCCGTGTAGAAACCTTCAGTTGGACATAGAGCAGTATAAAGGCTTAATGTACAGTGAGAGACTATGAACAGACATATTTATCTTATTCCTTGAGCTCTAAAAACTTTAATGAAGAAAAACTGCACTAATTTTTTACAACAATGCACTAAAATCTGAGATTTCTGAGAACATTTATTTATATATGAAAATAAAATACCATTATTTAAATTGACTTTGGGATTGACCCCTTCCCCTCCCTTATAAACATACGTATCAGGAACTATGCTGCCCAGAACATTGAAGTCTGTCTTTAAAAGGAAGACTAAATAGCATCATGATTGACATTTCCCGGAGCCAGCGGTCAGTGGGCGGGTCCTGCCACACTCTGCCAGCTCCCGAGTCTGCATCGCAGGCCAGCCCAGCGGCGGGTCCCTGGTCCCTGCTGCTCTCGCCGGCACACCCTCTGGGCCAATCGTGGGAAGAAAACACTTGTGCTTTTCAAAGAAGATGAGTGTCCAGGAATTTAAAGAGAGGATTGATTGCTTTTTATTTTAAGAATTCTTGAAGTTATTTACATGCAGTTCAGTTAATCAAGTAAAAATTTTTCAAACAAAATTATCCAGATGGTGCAGTTCTTATTGTTATATCCCTCTTTAATAACTCCTTTAATTTTCCTCTCCTTTTTCTATTACTTGAATTTTATTTCCTGTAATTTATAGTGTTTAGCTGTAATTTGAAATATTTATAACTGTAAATTGACTTAATTCATATGTTGTCTCATAACGTAAATTTTATTTTTTTAAATGCATGTATTCAGGGAAATTTATATGATTTACAATTGGGCTGGGTGGGAACTGCAATTTAGATTTGTCAACAGTTGGCATTTTTTAAATCCTTCTGAAAATTTTCCCTTGTTAAGTGAAAAAGAAGACTGTACATTTCTTCTGAGCGTTTAAGAGCAGCCGTCTTTCTGCCGCCTAATGGACAGTCAGAAGGAGGTGAAATTAATCTTCATCAAGCATTCTGTGTAATCCAATATATCCCAAGTATTACTGTTTCAGCCCTAGGCGCTAGCCCAATGCCAAGTACTCAGTGGCCACTGTGCCTAGTGGCTACCGTATTGGACATCGTAGGTTTAAAGTATCTTTTTATTGAGGTGACAGGAGAGAGAAGCTGTTTTTCCAACCAATTGTAACATAGATCTTACAGTGTAGCATAACACTTCAGTAGAAGGAATGAGAACTAAGGAAGGAAATAAATAAATGCTTCTTACTGCATTTCCACTCAAAACCTATTTTCCCTTTTTCTAATTTAGCATTCTTGTTGCTAAATTCAGGACCCAATGTGCCTTGTGTTAACATTTCCAGACTTCACACTTTGTAAAATTTACTGTTTAAAAACATTTGTCAAGTGATTTTCTAAACCTTTGCACAAAGGTACCCTTTCTAAATTGGCCAATCAAAATGTGTTTCCCTGATACTGTCACTATTCTGTATTTGCCTTTTTTTTGGCAGTTCTTGTAGTATGCCATTAAAGTTCAGGCTCTTTCTTCTTTCTTTCTGAAAATATATATGCTTACCTATGTATATTTATTTAAAATATCACAGGAATTTTTCTCCCTATTGCCTGTCCCCTTTCTGAAATAAAAGTGATCTTTTTATGGTCGTTACCTCAGTGAGAAGATAAGTATTAAATGCTACTAAATAGTAATATTTAGTATTAAGTGGAAAATAATTCACTTTCCTACATATACACACACAAAATCTAAATTTCAGATGATTCAGTCAGAATGGCCAGAATTACTTTTATTCCTACTCCCCCCACTCTTGCCCTCAATGATACACTCACTCCTAAAAGTCAGATTTCAAATGCCAGACTAAATTTTATATGGAGCACATTTATTGCATCTTGATTTGGGATAGCAACTAGTGGACATTTTCCTCAAAACAAAGTTGGTCTTTGTTATCAGATAGCCCTTTAGTCAAGTTTTATGGATCAGGAACCATGTTCTTCTTTTTTAAGCCTAAAATAGGGAGTCTTTTACAAATTATAGTACTTTTCTAATAATTTCATTAGGGGAAATGGTGACAAATGAAAAAACATTTATTTCTTAAGAATAATTTGACCTAAATTATTAAATAGGAATATACACCCTTCAGTTAAATTGATCAGACATGTCTTATTCTACCCCTGCTTTTCCCAACAGTGAGCCGTTTCGATTCCTGCCTCTCATTTTCATCAATGTGTGAGACCAGCAGACATGGTGTCTTTGCCTCATAGTCGCAAAACTTCCAGAGTTCTAAAAGTTGAAAGTAAAAATATGAAATTAAAACACTAGTATTTTATTTATTTCCTTTAAATAGAGTTTCATTAATACCTTTTGTTGTTTGATTTTATTTTTTCCCCCTTCGAAAGGAAGTCCTGGATGATATGTAATTATTAGCTTCTCCTTGTTTCAAAATAATTTTGTAATTCAAAATTAAGCTTTTAGTTAATCTTTCAGCTTATAAGTTGGTGTGAGCCCTCTTTTTACACCATTTTTTTTCAATACTTGATAAGACTTTAAACCGTCACTTTTTTCTAAAGAACCAATTTTTTTTTTTAAGAGCCTAGATTAATATGTTGATATTTAAGGGGTATGGGAGAGTAGGTGGTAAGACTGTATATTTTTATGGTAAAAGGAGATTAGCTACCTTCCAGGAAATTAGTGAACAACCTTCTCTGAGTTGCCAGTACTGGATGGTTAACTTCCATTAGGTTTGAAGTATTTTTAAAGGTATTTCAAGTATATCTGAGCTGCTTCTAGTAATCTTTGAAACAAGTAGACTGTTTCTGTTATGAGATAAGGAAAATTCCTCTGTATTAGATGTCAAGCAATGAAAATACAAGTCTTTATGTAGGAAAGGACATCTCGTTAAGAAGATGTTAACTCTCTTTCTGGGTTGGTTTATTTTTACATTTTGTATCAAAATACAAAGAACAGCCTCAGATCTAGGCAAGGGTAGCTTGCTCCCCCTTAGTAAAGTCTGCCTTGCGTCTGAGCAGCAGCCTCCGCCTCCCGAGAAAACCTTCATTTGGTGGATGGCTGCCTTCAGTGGTTCATCCAGAACTGGGTCTTTATGATTTGCCCACAGTCTAAAATTACCTTTTTCTTTTAGTTAGCTTTCAAACATCCATCCTCCTAAATACGTGGTGTGAGAAAAAGCTGACAGTGACATGGATTGAGAATTCTTTGAGTTTGTATTTACTGGCTGCTAGACTGTAAACCGCAGCGCGGGCTGTTCATTGCTTTTGTGTTCATCTTCATTGCTTTCTCATGAGTAGGGACAAAGGCCCCTCCCGTTATTTTCAAGTCCTCAGTCTTCATTCTTAGTTTTGTTGTTGTTGTTGTTTATAGTGTAATGTGATCATATAAAATTACTTTGCCTGGACACAAATGAGATATAAAGCAACAATGTTTATTTAGAGGCTTTCCTTTCCATTCCAGGAAGTGTGGGGAGAATAATGAAAGTCAGTGAGGGCGAGTTGACACTTGGAGCCAGCTACAGGACTCGGGCTTCCTGTCTCAGGCGCAGGGAGAAAGGAGCTCTGTTGATCTGGAAGAAGGAAATTAGCTATCATATGTATTTGTGCACCTTACATTTTAATATGACAGTGGATATGCACAGTGGGTTGTTTAAGTATTAGGAAACCAGCTTCTCTTTGTTTCTCTTTTAAAAAAAAAATATAGCTGATAAACATTTAGGCCTCATTTTTAACTTGTTAGATATTTAGGTAAGAGCTGTGGTTGAAAAGGAATTTATATACAAATAGTTCTGGCAGGTGTGTGAATGGAGCATTAATTTTGCTTAAAAACGGAAGTATGATTTCTGATTTGAGTCACCTCATCAGAATAATCTAAAGGCTTACGTGTGATAAGAATTCCTCTCAGTTGTGTATCAGCCACACACTCTGGATCAGAGTGGGTACGTGGGTGAGCTGATCTTCATTATCTGCCATTTTACGGAAGCCACGTATCACTCTTTGGGGAACCAGAGCTGACAGCCATAAGATTACACTTCCCTTCTTAGGCCCCAGCTTCGCACCTGACAGTTTGTGATTCCGTGGAGCCAGGCTAAGGAACAAAGGTCATCTAAGGTTATGGTCGGGTGAAGAGGGTGTTACTAGCACAGATGGGTGATAACCTGGAACTTGAGACAGAGGAGCAGTGAGAATGACTGGGGTTTAGTGTCATTGTGGTTCAGCAAGATTTTCTAGATTATGAAGCTTGATTCTACAACCAAAATTACAGCAATGGGGGCACAGTCGTGTCTGCTTATGCTTTTTAAGAGCTTGTAGTTTAAATAAAAATAGCAAAAACTGATTTCCTTAGCCCTTTATGAGCCTGGCCGTGCGCTCCGCCGAGGAAGTGGGAGGAGGATGTAAGGAAGGCAGTGGCCTTCTCTGTCTGGTCCCGGGCTCCAAGAGGGTCCATTGCCTCTACCAGCATCCAGTGTAAACCCAAGATGAGAAAATGTACTCGTGTGTGTGTGTGTGTGTGTGTGTGTGTGTGAGTGTTTGTTATTCTAAACAGTTTGTAAATATTGCAGT